TGGGAGTTTCCGAAAATAGGGAACCCTAGTATAGTACCCTAAATAGTCGGAGGACCCCAAGAGAAGGTAACCCCCAATTTTCGGAAACTCCCATGTAGCTTGAGTGTAAGCGACTCAGTCAGCCAGGTCAAGCACCTCAGAAAGTGGATGAAGCTGGATAGGATAGAGGATTCTTTACGCAAGGCCTCGTGATCGGGATGGCCGCGCCTACCCGCCCTAAACCGAACCCCGAACCCCCAAACCCCTTGGCCCTAAACCCGTTCATCCCACCGCTGGAGTGATTCGACTTCGAACGCACAGTCCTCGTCGACCCGCGGAGCTTTCGACAATGAGAACTGCCCGAAACCCGAAATCAGCCTGCCCACGAGGGCTCTTTGTGACAGATGCTGTGGAAAAAGGCTTTCAAATGCCTTCAAAGTAAGCTACAACCAGCCCCAACCCCTTGGCTCTCTCTCTCTCTCTCTCTCTCTCTCTCTCTCTCTCTCTCTCTCTAAGGACGGTCGCACTCGTACCGGCAGGTCAGAAAAGCCTGTCCGTCCATGTATACCCAAATAATATATACTCGGACTTCTTCAATGCCAAAGTACATACTAGCCACATGGACCCTTAGGGAAGGGAGTACGCAGACAATAAACACAAAACGAGAGCAAGCTAAATCCCAACGTCTCAGCGAAGTGGTTTTCACATTCAGGTAGAAGTTCCTGAGGCCCTGGATTCTACTGCCTCCTGCGGGACGACCCAATATAGGGCCTTAATAACTAAAATGGGGTTTGGGTATATATTATACGATGCTTTATAATAAGGAACCTGAGGAATAATGTTGGCAATTGTTCATGCTTCTGCAGTAGCTTGGGTTGAGGGTTCCGCCACGAGCAAGGTACTTACAGCTATACTTCTAGTACCCAATGGGTCCAAGTACCCACATCGTATATCCTTTGGGCCCAATGTACCTATATAGGGAGTAGTGTAAGGCCAAAGTATTTACTATTTGGGTAGATGAACCGTTAGGGTTAATGTCAAGGCAGCGCGCGAGGGCTGCTCTCGTGAAGCCCTGGTTCTTTGGCCCTGGTCCTCGTTCAATCTGAGCCGCAGGAAGAACTTCAGCTATGGACTTGAACCAGTTGCCCCATACCCAAACCCCAAACCTAAACCCTAAATCCAGAGCCTTGTAAACCCATTAAAAGCCCTAAATCCAAGACCCCAACAGACCGATCATAAGCCCTAAATCCTAAACCCCAGAAACCGTTTATAAACCCTATATACTAAACCCTATAATTACAAATCCTAACCCCTAAACCCTACATTTATATACTCTAAACCCTAAACCCCGAAGCCCAAAGATGAAAGTTCAGGGACCTGTTTGGGGTTTGCGGTGCTGTTGCAAGCAGGAGAAGCTGAGCGAGTTGGAAGAGCAGCCGAAGCCTGAGAGGGGAGATGCAGAGACCCACGTCCCATCGAAACTCTGTGCTTCTTGAGATTCTGTAGACAAGCCGCAGTCCGATTCGAGGACTTTTGAGGGCTATTGCAGCTCGAGAGTGGCATGTGCAGCGCGTAGGGCTATGGAGCATTCCACAAGGCCTGAAAGCTGCAAACAAGCCCTTCCTTCAAATCCCGTGGCCCAGAGCTCTACACCTCAGAACCTCAAAGCCCAAGATACTCGCTTGCTGGGCCTCAGAGTAAGCCACTTCAGGATGGGAGTTCGCGATAGTGCCAACAGAATTCTGGGTAGTTTACAGAATCGTTGCACGGTTGGTGATGTGAAGCGAGTCTGTTTGCTGATTACTCATGTTTCTTGACACAGCATTCCGGGACCTGAAGCCCGAAACCTTGTGTGCAGGGACAAGGTGTTTCGGGTTAGGGGTTGCTCGGATTAACTTAGTCATGGGTCAGCTGGTGGGTTATGGGTTTCAGGTAGCCTTGTCTAAATCAGGTTTCTTTCACCTATGCTTGACTAGATGTAAGGCTTAGTCAGCTCCAGTACCCACCTTTTGGCCTCAGTTGGACATCACGGTATGTCAAGTTTCATGTTGGTCTGCTTTGGCCACAGTCGAAGGTTGAACTGACAAGTTTGTCTTTTTTCCGTTTAATCTCGCATCAGTAAGTTCGCTGATGTCAGGGATTATATGTGTTTTTCAAGGATAATGTTGTCAGACAGTGCCAGCACGGCAAGACTGCGTGTTTAGCAGGGTTGATCTCATGCACGACTAGATAGCATCAAAACTCAATAAGGCAATCCCAAACTTTGAAGCACTGCAGTGACAGCCTCGGAGAGCCATACGAAACACAACCGAGCAGCAAGTTAAGCCTGACAAACGATCGTCGGCAGCATGGTGAGTCTTTTCCACCCCAGAGACCCGCTCATACATCAGGCAAATCATGGATATGTTGACAAAGTCCTTTCATTTCCGTGGCTCAGACCCATGAATCGCTGACTGTATAGAACCCTTTCAATCCCGGCTGATCCCTAAGCCCCAACCACCCGGGCTGCACGGAGCGGTCGAGGCTACACGCTCAGCAAAATCCATCGAGTTCCTCCTGCGAAAGCTCAGGGAACGACCAGGATCGTGCCATAGCGGGCTTTTACGGTCTGTCATCAGTCATCAGGTTATGTATAGATTATAAAAGGTTGTGTGTAGTAAGATTTTATGGGTTGGGTCAAGGGCTTTGGCATTTAGGAGTTTAGGTTTCAGGGTTAGGGGTTTGCTTGAAGGCTTGCAAGATCACAGGTTGGAGTGGTGAGGTGTTCGACCACAGTGTTAGCTATCTTTACATGAGGCTCCCTTTTAAGGTCCTGCTTGTGAGGGTGCCGTACTGTTTTTTGGGACGAAAATACCCTAAGGGTCCATGTTCCCATATAGCCTATACTTTGGGCCCAATGTACCTATATAGGGAGTACTTTAAGGCCAATGTATATACTATAAGAGTACATGGACCCTTAGGGAAAGAGGACCCTACTTCAGAGAGCTCCTCACATGCGCAGCTTTCATGCCGCGCCAGCGACAAGAAACCGGACGAAGGGGCACTGCTGTCTAGGGCTTGCGTCTAGGAGCTCTGTTGTGTTTTCGAAACATGGCCCGATTGGCAAGTCACTCCACGGCAGAATTCCTCGCAGAATCTATGAGGCCACATGGCCTGTACTGCATTGTCAATTGTCGGAGCACCAGATGAGTAGGTAGGGGATCGGCTTGTTTTTTGGCTTTCCTGACTGTCAGTCATTGCAAGCTTGACAATTCGATCTGTAATCACCCGCAGTTATCATCATAAAGTCTCATCATCACGGAGATCAACAGCATTCAACAGCAATACAGGTAACACCAATTAAAGAGCTTCTTTCTCTCCGCATCATACAGAGCCTGTGCCTCATCTCTTACCCATTTCGTAGTGGCACTGTGTTTGCATGACGGAGATGGCGATCATGAGGAACGCCATCACCATCATCGTCGCCGTCATGTGCATGATCATGGTCATGATCTTGAGCACCACCAGCATCGAATCAACACCAGCAGCAAAACCAATCGACCAAACTTAGGGACCCAAAAAGCACATAAGCATAAGCTTCATTATAAGGGGATTTAATGGGATATCCCTCTCCAGATTTTTGCTTATGTGCTTTTTGGGGGCCCTACAAACGATCATCAGCAGCGGCATCTTGTGGCACCACCGGCACAGGCTCGGTTTTCAATCAAGTGAAACACTCGCTCGATGGTTGACACGCCTCTTGAAGAGTTAACCAAGTGTTCCCTAATGTTCGTTGATTCGTAGAGTTTGGAAACGAAGGAGACATTTGATTCGCAATTCTTGCAACGATTGGAACATACATACTTGTGTAGCACTGGGAACACCGGAAAATTGTCCTGTTGCGCCCAGTCTGAAGCAGCATTTAAGCTTGTACTGCTCAAGTGATGGCGGCTTTCGGCTGATCTTGCGCAGCTGCTTCACATCATGATACTTACCCCTTGCTCCTGAATTACCCGAAACCCTAAACCCCTAAACCCTAAAGAGTCGCAGGAAGGTCAGGGTTCTCTGCCTTAACAGTGCTATGGAAGCAGCGGCTCCAGGATGCAGATTCGATAAGGCTTTAAGGGCTTAGGGTTTGGTTTCAAGCTGTAGGCTCGCGGAATACGATGTCTCCGGTCAGATGTTTTTGCGTCTGCCCGTACGATTTTTGTCGACCTCTCGTGCAAATTGTTACAAAGTCTGAGCGCATAGGTTAGATTCTAGTAGTCACTACTGAATCTATGAGAGGCGTACCCCAGACCCTAAACCCTGAACCCTGAACCGTATGTGATCAAACCTAAACCCAAACTATACACAAACCAATCAAATCCTTAACCGAAATTAACCAAACCCTAAACTTTGGCCCTAAACCCAAATTAATCAAACCCTACAACCATTTCAAGTGAACAGGATGAAGATGGGCCATTCCAGCTCGACTCGCCTCCCAAGTCAGAGGCACGCGATCTGCTTCTGCAGGGAGCAAGTTTCTGCAATGTGAGAGTTCCATAAGACTAGGCACCTTATACAGGGGCCCTTATAATGGTAAATTTAGTCTTGCGAGTTTCAGACAATCAGGAGGGGTACCGTATTTTGGGGCCCTTGAACATAAGGATCCTACTATTTAGGGCACGATATTAGGGTCCCCTCACTTTACGTGACGAAGCTTCCCGAATTTTCCGCAGCTTGCAAGGTGTCAGCAGCCCCACATGTGGGGCCTCGGTGTAGAGTTTGCAGTTTAGGGTCTTGGGTGGTGTACACCCCTGATCAATAATCCCGCTACCTTTTACAGGCATGCGGTGATCCGAAAAGTTGGGGCCTTCAGACTTTAAAGGAAGGGGCGGAAATGTTCGGGTCTCTGCATTCTACATTGAGGGCTAATGTATAGGGTCTATGCTCAGACCCTGAATCCTGAAACCTAAGCTCTTAAAGAAGTTACAAACAGTAACCACGGACAGACCAAACCCGAAACCCAAAACTATTGGTGTTGTCTCCGGCTGAGGCCAATGTGCCTCAAGACAAAGATGGCCCGTTCCAGCTGGGCTCCGCAGAGATACCGGAGGCTATCGGATTTTGGAGTTCTGGATTGTTGCGTTGTCAAGCTCCCGTAACCTCTATGCCCAAACCTCTAGAATCCAGTCGTCGGTGTTGCGTGCGTTGCTTCTGAGATTTTGCATCGAGGTAGCCCATGTTGCGGATGCAAGGGAAGTGGCTATTGCCGATTGCCTCTATGGTTTTGAAGGGAAAGGTCTTCAGTCCAGCGTTTAATATAGGGGCCTAAATAATTACCTATACTATGTTGGGGGGGGGACCTTATTATAGGCATAGTATATTGGGCCCCAAACCTTATTCTAACTATTAAGGTCCCTATATTATAGTAATTGCCCTTGTAGATCCCTTGTAGTAGCCCTTATAAACCCCTTTAAAGGAACCCTGTTCTAATTATTGAGGCCCCTAGATTAGACGACCGACTCAGCTGCCTTACTGTTTCCTGAGAGCGTGTGAAGTCACAATACTTTTGCAGGCACAGGCTCCCTTCGTAGGGTTTAGGGTTAGAAGGGTTTAGGGTTAAGGGGTTGAGGGGTTTAGGGTTTAGGGTTTTAGGGTTTAGGGTTTTAGGTTTAGGTGTTTAGGGTTTAGGGGTTTGGGGTCTAGGGGTTTAGGGTTTAGGGTACGCAGAGATTGACTTGAGCTCCTGATGCTGAAGCCGTGATGCCGCCCAAAAAGAAGGGCGGCAACCCTGTGAAAAGGACTATAAGAGGGACCCGAAGTTAGACATCTCCCCTATATTTTAAATACCAATACAAGTAACAATCATGATGACAACAATAATCGTAACAGTAATAATTGTAATAATAATAGTAAGAATAACTAATAGTAATATCAATGATAATCATAATCAGAACTACAACAACCCCCCAAGGGTCCAAGTACCCAATAGTCATATACTCTCCCAAATCCTAACCTACATAACTACTATCCTAAAGCCGAGTACTTGATTATTGGGTCCTTTGGACCCTTGGGGTTAATTTAGATTGCCACGATAGGGATAACTATTATTAATAATAATGATAATGATACTCAGAACTATAATCCCCTAACCCCTAAAACCCTAAAGCCCTAAACCCCTAAAACCCCCTAAACCCTAACCCCTAAACCCCTAAAACCCTAAAACCCTCAACCCCTGAACCCTCAACCTCTAAAGCCCTAAACCCCTGAACCCTAAACCCCTAAACCCTAAACTCTAAATAAACCCCTAAACCCTAAACCCTAAATAAACCCCTAAACCCTAAATAATGATTAGTCTACTGCCATCCTCCAGGCCCTGCAGAAGGCGATGGTGCCAGTGGAGGCGAGCACAGATACCGACCTGCGCGAAGTTGTCTTTACGAGGGTGTACTGTACTTGGAGGTTCATGGGTAGTTATAAGTAGGGTGATAAGTAGGGTAACTATACTTATAGCCCAGATTACTCGGGGACTTTTGACTCCACTTGTAACTACCCATGAGCCTCCAAGTAAGGCCTCTAGTCACAGGCTCCACGGTAGTTCCATTTTGGGGTTACCTTATAAGATCCTAAGCGATTATTATCTACCTTATAGGATCCTAATTATGAAACACAAGAAGGAACTACTATGGAGCCTCTAGGTAGTAGTCTGTCGGGTTTAGGGCACTAAGCTTCAACTGCCCATCGCTTCTACTATCTCCGTGGGCCCCGAAGCTAGCAGACAGGATCTGACTCAGTGTGCATTGCCATGCGATGTGGAGATACGGTTGATGATATAAATCCTGCATTACCCATAATAAGGAATATACCATAATTCCCATAGTCTATGGTCCTTAAGGTAGTGCAGGATTTATATCAACAACCGTATTCAGACAAGTTGTCAGACCAGGTGATGAAACTGGCCCTCACAAATTTCAGAAAGTCTGGATGATCTACTGTTACTGCCGACTCGATCGATCATCGGAGCCTTTGGGCGCATCATACTCCAAATCCGAATTCATCAGGGTGTGTCGGGTTTTGCAGCATTGCACCTCCGTGGGCTGCATGCGTGTTAGGGTTCAGGGGTTTACATAGGTTTTTTGAGTCAGTCATTTGCCTCCCCCCATTGATGACCCCCGCCCCTTCTGATGTGGCCTACTCTTCTTACTTGCCCAAGCCTAAGACTAACACCATGAGCAAGACTCAAATTAAGATGAGTACAGACATTAAGGCTGGCACGAGGACGAATCGCCGATGTTGCGGCTGCTGATGATGGAAGTAACACAAAGGATGGTGACGATCGTGATGATGCCACAAGTGTGATTTGGCTAATGGGTGATGAAGATGCTGTCATTACCATGATGATGACGGGGGTATTGTGTATGAAAGGGTTCGACTGACGTGGATGTGATGGAGGTTTGCTGAGTATGTTGCAGAGTTCTTCACTTTTACCATCCAGCTGTCTGCATAAGTTCACCGCTTGATAGAAAGCCGCACTCCATGCTGCAGCATTTCGCTTGCCAGGTGGACCAGAGACTTTATGTTAGGGCTTATAAGTCTGGCATGTTCTGAGTGTGGTAAGATGGTAATTGCATTGAAACTCTAAAAAAGAGCCTTCTAAGGATTCTAAGGACCTGCTAAAGATCAGCCCAAAGCAGCATAATTGGAAGGGTCACAACAGTTGGCCACATATCCGCGTACCACAAATGTAGCACTGGCAACCCCGCAGACCACTCAGCTCTGCGAGGGTTTAGGGCTTAGGGCATTTTTCTTAGTTCTAGACCTTGCTGCGGACCATGGCGTGGCGACGAGTTTTCCCAGCATGGCATCGCACCCTTGTCTGAGTCCAGCAATCAGCTGCAAGCATGTCGTTGGTACAACTAACTGCTATGTTTCATTACACTGTTTGCTGGTTTTCTGCTATTGCCCAATGCGCTGTGTACAGACAGCACACTCCCTGTGGGCACCGTTCTAGTCTGGTTTTGTGTAAACCCTGCATTGGTCCCGAAGCACTGCACAGTGGATGCAGCGAGCTCGGCTGCAGCACATGCTGATAGGCGCAATGCACGCAATGCAAGTCCGAATGCCGTCCCCCCCCAAAGGGTCCAAGCATCAACCTCCAAAATCCTAACCTACATAATTACTATCCTAAAACCGAGTACCTAATTATTGGGTCCTTTGGACCCTTAGGGTCCCCCAAGCCTGAAGCACCAAGCCCTTTATCAGGAGCCCCAAACCCTCAACCCTAATTGGAGGTTCATGGGGTTATAAGTCCCTAATATTGGCTATAAGTATAGTTACCCTACTTATAACCCTGCTTATGACTACCCATGAACCTCCAAGTAGACCTAAACTTCAACCCTATGTTGAACCCCAGAGTGCTAAGTTGCTGAATTGGGCTCTATTCAGGTCTTCGGGCGGGTTTCGGGGGATACATCAGTCAGAAACCTAGGCCTAGGGTGGGTCTAGGCAAGACGCCTAAAGCCTAAAAGACTACACACTAAACCTTGAGAAAGAAAAGAACCCAAGACCTCAAGGCTAAGCCGTAGAGAACCCCACCGACGCCAAAGCTTTGGACTCGAGAAACCAGGGTCCCTGAACGAGTTTATTAGATTTTTATCGAAGTGTCCGCAACACTAGCCTTTGCCTTTGGGCTAGGAAGCCGTGAAACATGTGTCTTTGGAGACGTAGGATTCGAGACACCGAAAATCCACTGAATCATGCACTCGTGAACCCTGATTCCTACTTAACACCTATAGACCCAAACCCTGAAAGCCTAAAGGCTCGCACCCCTCCCCCAAGTCAGCCCCAAACCGCCAAGCCCAGGCATGCCGGCCCTCGTCTCACAAAGCCGATTGCTGCAACCCAGCAGGCTCGAAAACTTTTATCCACCTCTGCTTTTGTGTGTGTGTGTGCATGTGTGTGTGTGTGGCTGTGTTGCTGGATGTTTGAGTGGTTCGCGGGGGTTGGGTTTAGGGTTTTGGTTACAATAAGTGCGACTATAGTGGGTTTAGCAACTGGTTTGGTAAGCTTTTAACTTTTCAGGGCTTATACAACCGTACAACAAGTATCAGAAAAAGCTTCTTTGGGCCAGGCCTCTCGGCTCTTAAGCATTTTGGGCTTAGGGTTTGGGGTTTTCGGGCTTTTAGGTGGTTTGAGGTTAGGGTTTAGGGCTTCGTCGTGGTTTTCGGATACTGGAGAGGCCTTCAGGGCTAATGGCGATCGAATGAATCTGAGGCGAGGGTTTAGGGTTTAGGCTTTCGGGTTTGGGGTTTAGGGTTTAGGCTTTAGGGTTTGGGGGGCTTCCTGGCAGCAAGGCTCAAAAGTGACTTGCGAATGTGAAACTGTTGAATTGGGTTCGGCCCCTACTCAGTAATAGTTGAACAACATACTATAGACATATTAGGACCTTAATAGTAGCCCTACTATAGACTCTTACTGTATGGGGGCAGTACCTAACTTTTGAACCTCCAATCTGCTGCGCAGGCTTCGTCTCAGACCCTGCCCATCTTTGCGCTGCAGCGGCACTATCTCGGGAGCTTTGGCTGTCATGGCTTGTGGTGTGGTACGCGTTGGGTTTACAAGTTTTAGGGTTTCTATGTATACAAATTAGGCACCTATACTCATGTTCGTGTAATTGTTTAAATTAGCTATGCAAGCCTTCGCAAGCACGTCATACAACGGTTGTGTACCATAGCCACAGTCCAAGATCTATCTGCAGGGCCCAGCTTGTACCCCTCATTTTGTCAATATCGGCCACACGTCGTTGATATCTCAATTAAAGGGGCGTTGAGATCTCTTGTCATCAATGACGCGAGGATTGCCGCGCGTGAGAGCAGTCTTCGAGGAAAACTTGGCTGACAGCGCAGCATGGGCTGCAATAAGAATTCGAGGGCTTAAGTACAGAAGTGTGGGATTTGGTCATCAACAAACCCTACATAGACCCGAAACCCCTAAACCCTAAACCTACAGATCTTGTTGAAGGTTAGGAGGCTTAATGAGCTCAGGTGGTAAAGGGACCCATCCCAGGGATATACTCTGGCCTTGAAGTATCTGTGTAGGATGGTAGGAAGCCCTTCAAAGCCTAAGTAGACAATGTGCCATTGTTGATGATCTAAATCCTGCATGACCCACAATAAGGAATATACCATAATTCCCATAGTCTAGGGTCCTTAAGGTAATGCAGGATTTATATCATCAACCGTAGTTAGGTACATGGAACCTTGGGATCATAGATTGTCAGATCCCTTCCCATACACGCGACTCCTGCTGTTGATGTCAAGTGTGTAATATGGCATCAGTGGTTTTGCACACAAACTCCACCGCTGCATTCCAGTCTCAGTCTCACGAAAGCTTGCGGTTGCTCCAGATTTCTGACTCCGAAACCATACAGCTAAACCACGAATCATAAGCCTAAGACCCGAAGGCCTACACTCTAGACCTTTCTTTGCTCTCTCCAGGTTCTCATGGTCGAGCCCACTGGCTTTTGCTCCAATGATGAGACAATGCAGGATCTTTGAAAGGTTTAGGCTTACATAGGGTTCCGGGAAGCGTTTTATAAGGCTTCCCAAGGGGTCCATGTATCCATGTGGTAGATACATTGGCCGTAAAGTAACTAAACCCCCAAAAGTAGGTAAAATAGTGGCCCCAAACCTATACAAGGCCATTATTCTACATATTTGGGGTCCAGGTAGTCCTTACATAGATGCTGTCAGGCCAAAGTACATGCTGTACGAGTATCTGGACCCTGTGGGTTCCACAGCGGTTATAAGGCCTTATACGGTTTGTAACATAGGGATACCGCGTTTTGAAGGTGCCTTTAGTCCGGACTGTAGTAAACAGGCTCTTTGGTCATGCTTTTGATATTCACGATCACGAACAGCATCCACGTAGTGGCATAGTTGTTAGGACTCTATAAGACGCGGTCCTCAAACCGCAAACTGATGCTTGTCGTACTCATGATCAAGGCCAGTGCTTTTACGCGTTTTATTGGCAGCTTCATCGCTATGAGGCGGGCAAAACATGTTTGTCACATCTTTCTGCGGCAACCGTGTTCGTTCGTTGCCGCGCCGTAGTAAGTATCCTTCAATTCAGGCCGCCCTTTGCCACCAGCTCCAAACCCCCAACTACACTCTTATCAACACTATCCCCAAACTCCTTGAAACACCAAGCCCAACAGAACGAAAGTTCCAACCTCGACAAAGCTCTTGACGCCCAACTCCTCAAACTACTAGCGCCGAAGCCCAGAAGTCCGTGAAAGCTGGATTCCCCAAAATCCCCGACCCTAATCCGCTTCATTTGACTCATTGGCCATAGCTGGGCATACGAAGTTCGGGTCTCTACGTATTCCTCGTGGTTTTTCCAACCCCGGACTTATAACTTGCAATCCAAAGCTCAGAAACAGAAAGCCGTGATTTCGACTCTTTGGGCTTTTAGGGCTTTGAGTGCTTCGGGTGTTGGGGGCTCACCTCAGCCTAGCAGACCTGAAGCAATGCGGGAGTTTCCATAAAATGAAGGGTACTTCATTTCTGGATCCTTATAATAAGGATTCTACCATTTAGGGTACTAGTCAGGATCCTCATAATAGGGATTCTACCATTTCGGGTACTATTTTGCCCTCCCCCCATTTTCGGAACCTGCCCCCCCCCGTCATGTCGCAGGACAACAAGTTTATGAAAAGCATGGATACCCCGACGACCGTGGAAGAGCTGAGGCTCCTCACTACTGGGTTCTCTGATGGGCAGCGGGGACTACTTGCAGGTTTTTTTGGGTAGTTATACGGCGTCCTTCGAGGGTCCCTTTAAAGGGATCTATAGGGGTTCTATAAGGGTATAGGGTTTAGGGTCTGCTTGGAGGTTCATCGGTAGTTATACGTGGGGGCTAGAAGTCCCCTAATATGGGTTATAAGTATAGTTACCCTACTTATAACCCTACTTACAACTACCTATGCACCTCCATATAGGGTTTTACTTTCAATTTCTGGCGCTTGTGCTACTACTATGACTAGCATCGCCGTCACCATCATCACCACCATCCTCATCATCGGCACCCGCATCAACGTCATCATCATCATCATCATCATTATCGTTATCACCGAGGAAGTGGCAGCAGTCGCAGTGACACTGAGATAGCTGCGATACTGAACGCATTGGTAGCGGCAGTGTTGTGGTTGCAATCAATAGTTGTTTCGCAAGTCTGTTCGCCGTCGGTTTTGCCGTAGTAGAAGCAACCGCAGAAGAGCCAGAACTTAGCATGAACCGTCATCATCATCATCACCATCATCAATACCACTTCCACACCATCATGATCAGTATCATCACCAATGGCATGCAGACATGCTTTCATCAGCTTCCGGTATTACCGTATTACCACAAGAGAGACGAATAAATCACAAACCCTCGACGCTCAAAGCCATGCCCTGCACTTCACAGAGACCTTGGCAGTTCTTGACACCCGAAGTTTCCAAAGGACGCAGAAGTTGGGTACTTGGTTCAGGGGCTTACGGCTTCAAGGGTTTAGGTTTTTAGGGTTTCGGCGGTTTAGGGGGCTTAGGATTGTTTTCGTTGTTGGCGAGTCTTTTTCGGGAGTTCGTGATAATTAGGTACTTGGACCCTCAGGGTCAGGTACAGCTTTGCTCCAAAATACGGGACCCAGACTGATGGTTTCTCTTCAGATCCGAAACCTATGCGCACCCTCATGCCATCCCTCTTACGGTTGATGATATAGACCCCGCATGACCTTAAGGACCCTAGACTATGGGAATTATGGTATACTGTGGGCAATGCAGGATTTATATCATCAACCCTATCTCCACATCGCATGACAATTCACACTGAGTCAGATCCTGTCTGCTAGCTTCGGGGCCCACGGAGACATTAGATGCGATGAGCAATGCAGGATTTATATCATCAACAGTAGGAGCCCGGGAGCATGTAGCATAACTTTTTCCACAGCCCGCGACCCCAACAGAAATCCAACTCCAGAGCCTTAAAGTGACAAAAAAGGCTTTAACCCTAAACCCCTAAACCCTAAACCCTATTAGGATCCTTATAGAGCCCCGCTAGAACCCCACCCCAAAAACCTAGCTCCAGAGCTATCAAAAGACAAAGAGAAGCCTATTAGGATCCTTATAGACCCCTACCCTAGTAGTCGAGTAGGTAACCTTTGACTTTTTTGGGGTAGTATAGTCCCTATATAAGCCCTATATAACCAAAAATGTTAACCTCTAGTTCCCCTGACAAATAGGCTACTACAACCCGAATAGAACCTTACGGATCCCTTAGAGGAGCCCACACCCGAACCTCCCGTTTCTGAACTCAGGGCCGCGGCGATGGCTGAGTGGCAGAATCTCGTAGAGTTACTCAGAGAAGCCGGCGTGGAAGTCCTCACCGCGGAGGCCAGTGAGGGCTCAGAGTTTTGGGTTCAGGGTTCGATAGTTAGTAGGGTATAGGGTTGCGGGTTGTGGCTTGGGGTTGTATTTAATTTTGGCCAGCTATAGTTTAACCCTAAATCCTTGGCCGAAGCCGCTTGAAATCCTAAACTCCTAAACCCTAGCAGAGTTGGTAAGGGCTCAGCCGGGTTCCCAGAACTCTGCAAATATCCCCCAAATAAGGAATATATTCTAAATGATAGTAGGATCCCTTATATGCATACCCTAAACCCTATAGATCCCTTCTAGATCTCGTAAATATTATAGAGGAACCCTATCACTATGCAGGTATTCCTTCCTGAAGAGATATGGGAGTCTCCTACAATCGGGGACCCGAATCTAGTATGCTAAATAGTAGGATCCTTATTATAAGGGCTCCAACATAAGGTACCCCTAAATTCTCGGAAACTCTGAGCCCTAAACCCTTTAGAGATCCCTTATAGCTCCCTTTAAGGAACCCTATATAAGGATCCCTTTAAACGTACCCCAAATTTTCGGAAGCTCCCATATGGGTGGTTGTCAAAACTAGGGTCCCTTTTTGGGTCCCTATTATAATACGGCACCTATTATTCACGGTGCCCCAAAAAGGAGCCTTAATCTTGACAACTACCCAAATTGCAATGGAGACCATAGGTAGAGTTTATAAACCCTAAACCCTAAACCCCTAAACCCCTAAACCCCTAAACCCTAAACCCGGGCCCACAAAAAAAAAAGAAAAAACTAAACCCAACTCCCATATCACTATGGGCTATTAGACCCTAAAGATCCCTCTTAGGACCTTATTAAGGGTAGGTTAAGGTACCCAGAAGGTCTAATAGCCCATAGTGGTATGGAAGTCTCTGCGCAGTAGGCTTCAGGCGAGGCAAGGGCTGGATTTCGGACGTTTCCGGCTGCGCTGTGCTTGGAGGAGGTTTTTTTGGGGTAGTTATAAGGGTTCCCTTAAGGGTCCCTTTTACAGGGATCTATAGGGATTCTGTAAGGGTATAAGGTTTAGGGCTCTGCTTGGAGGGGGTTTCGGGTTTTTAGGGCTTTTCGGGTTTAGGGAGTATAGGGTTTATAGGGCTTAGGGTTTCGAGTTTTGCCTCAGGTTTTGGCTTGGGCTTCTGCGCGGGCTTGGAGTTTAAGGTTTTGGGAGTCTAATTGCGGGTTTCGGGTTTAAAGGCCTTAGGCTTTGCAATTCCGGGGTGTGGGGATCGGTTTCGAGATTCCTGAAGCATGCAGTATTGGCTTGCGTTTGAGGGATGTAGGTCTTGGGATGAACTAACTTATTTCGAAGGGCAGGGGCTCCTGTAATACTTTCACTGTAATACACTCCTTCTAAGACTCCCCAGACCCTATGCTATTTGTTGACTTCTATTGCGTTTCGGCTTCAGGATTTAGGGTTTGGGGTTTGTCAGGTTAGAGATACGGGTTCAAGGTTTAGGGTTTATGCCCAAAAGTTCATGGTTTAGGGAAAAAGGTGCGTGCCAATCACGATGCCCACGTTCTAAACACTGATTTCCGGATTTTTACAGCCCGAACAGTTAGCAACTACCAAAATACTCCCAGTGGCCATTCTTAGGACGAGGATGCCGTAACATTTCTTCGGGTGTTCAAAGTTTGCGGGTCAGGGTTTGCTTGACATCGATATACGACGTACACCTTTCTCCTCCAATTATGGAACTGCATAGATCCCCCTGTAGAACCAGGGAAAGAGCCCTCTGAAGAGCCTGTGCGAACGCCCTTCTCTATGTATCGAGGCCCTTATACTACCCGAAACCCCAACTAAATTCCCGAGCATAAATCCGGGAGCTCAATCAACTCTGAAAGCCTTACCGTAAGTGTCCTTTGTCCATGCACCTATATAGCATAGACATGGGCCTTAAAGTAGTCCTTATTATAGGTACTTTAGGGCCAAAGTGTCCGGACCCTCCACCTTAGTATAACCCTATGTAAGCCCTTAAATCCGAAGCTCTAAGTACTATATCCCTAAGCCCAAACACGATAACCGGTTCTAAACCCTAAACCCTTAATTCCTAAGCTCTTACTAGGTTTGGATTTGGAGTAACTTTTTGTTCCCTTTCACTACAGAATCCTAGTTACAAGCAATTCTGCAAACCGTCGAAATCGGCACCCACACAGCTTCGGCTCTATTCCTCAACCCCTGAATCCTAAGCCCACAGAAGCCCACAGCTTCGGCTCTTCCTTAATTCGGAGGCTCAGGGGCTTCCAGACGAGGTCTTTCCCAACAACTGGCGCTCCGGCAGTGGGGTCATATACGAAGCGGGCCGTTAAGAAGTAATAAGAGTCTTCTAGGGTAGAGGGTGACAACAAAGCGCTCTATGCAAGAAGGAGTAAGGGTCTTCTAGCGTTTGAGAAGTGCCGGGCAGCGGATGTTATAATGCTCTATCTGGTTTTCTGTGCAGGAGAAGCATTCATTCTGGTGCGTTTATGCACGTTTCAACATGACCCGCAAACAAGCGCCCATCACTATTTTGAGTGTTTATATGATTTTATATGCGCATGGTACATGTGCTGCTAATATATTTTTGTGCGACATGACTCCCAGGTGGTTATTGGGCTCGTACTGCAAGCACTCAGAGGCATCCTACTCCTCTAACATCCTCTGACATGCTAAACTGCATAGGGCACTGGTTGAGGGCTTAGAGATCAGAGTCAGAAAGACAATCTCACATTGTTCGGGAATTGAGTTTAGAGTTCAGGTTGCGGTGTCGGTGATGGCAGAAACTCTCTGATCACGACTGCTTGTCCACAGGTCTGCATCTCCCTCGGGGAGTGGGCAGGCACAAGGTAGCAATGCCGTTGTAATTACATATGCAGTTGGTGAGACTGACACTTAGGATGTAGGACCCACCCACATCATTAGTTGTCAGGGCGGGACGTCCAGTTAGCAGCCACATAATGCCGTAGGTGTTTATTGCAGGCAGTGTGTGCGGTTACCACTATTTCCAGACAAGAGCTATCTATACTCGGTGCCGCTAAGCAGTCGACCAGCTTTTGGAAAGAGGCTTCGCAACCCTTCTGCCACAACTGAAGCCTTAAACCCCAGAATTCCTGAAACCCTAAACCCGATGCCCTAAACCGGAACCTTCATGTCTCGAGGAAGCCGACACATGGAGCTGAGGTTCTCCACGCACGGCGATGGACGCTTGGTGATTTATCCGATGAAGGTGGGAGGTTCAGGACTGTAAAGTCAGGACTTTACCTAGAGTCTCCATTGTAGTTCCTTTTTTGGGTTAACCAGTTTTATGGTTAGGATTCTAACATAGAGATTTTGGTTAACCAAAAAAAGGAACTACAATGGAGACTATAGGTAAAGCCTGAACAGGGTTTAGGCTCTCTTTAGGGTTTCGGCTTTACCCATAGTAATCTTTGGTCAGCCGAGTGCCTGTTATCCGGTCTATCGGTTTTAAAACCGGTTAGCCAGCAGAAGGAACTACAATGGAGACTGTGGCTGATACCCCAAACCGCAGCAGGTGTTTTGGTGTTTTCGGTGTAGGGCGTTGGTGAGTTTCGGTTGACCCCATCATTCGAGACCGAGGGTTAGTTGCAGTAGTAACGGAGGTTGGTACTTGAGGCAGTGTGTGGTCCCTAGTTGAGCCTGAACCTTAAACCCTGAACGCGGAACCCGCAGCCTTAAGCTGCATAAACCCTTAGCCCCAAACCCTAAGCGAACCCTAAACCACTTTAAGGGTAACAGTGATGGTACCAGGCCGCCTATGAGGGTTACTACAGTGGTTCCGATGAGGGATTAAGGGCTCGGGGTTTAGGGCTTAAGAGCTTACCTGAACCTTAGATATCCTAACTTTACGGGCTACTTCTTGTGACTTCTTAATATGAGAGTTTCAAAGAATAGGGGACCCACCTAATTAGCAGGATTTTTGTTACAAGAACCCCAAAATAAGGTACCTCTAACTTTCGGAAACTCCCATATGAGACCTGAACCCTAAACCCTAAACCTTAAAGGACCCGTCATAGCGTTGGGTTGGGAGGTTCCCTCTCGCGCTGCCGAAATCCGGGAGGACATCATCAACTCGGCCACTTGTCTTTCTGGTTCTCAGTATACATTTCATTGGACCCTAACGGAGCCGACCTTTTTCAGGGTTCCCTAATATGATTTCTTTATATAAGTCCTTAGAATGGTAGGCTATTTGGTGTTAAGGTAGGCTTGACAGCTTAAGGGTGACGGTTTCGGGTTTGAAGTTTGGCGCTATACGGTTTAGGTTTCAGGGCTAGGCTGGTCAGGGAACGGAAGAACGGGTATATCGGGGCCTCAAAAGGGAGGATGAAGGTAGGTGGGACATTCCCAAATAAGAGTCCTTATATAAGGGATCCTTAATCCCACCTACCTTCATCCTACCTTGTGAGGCCTCCGAGTTATAGACCCCTACACCCTAAAGTTGTAGAGGGCTTGGCGGATAAAGGAGCTCAAAAAAAGTTATAGAGAGTGCTGCAACAAGGGACTATCATAGGGATCTGTGGCTCCATTCCCCAACCAAGAAACCAGGGAGTTGTCGAAGAAGCATCGTATAGGTAGTTGTCAAAATTAGGGTCCCTTTTTGGGTACCCTAAATAATAGGTGCCGTATTATACCAGGTACCCGAAAAGGGACCATCATTTTGACAACCACACTCATATGGCGAGCTTATGCATTTCGGGTTTAGCCCTGGAGCTTGGGTACTGGACTTTCGTGTCTAGACATACCCGAAGGAATCTCAGAGGTTTAGGTCTCTGCTGCAAACCCTAAACCCGAACTAACCCGGAACAGTAGGCCAGCAGGAGTTTAGGATTGTAAGATTTTAGCTGGGTCTATCTTGCACATGATTTGCAGCCCTAAACCCCTAAACCGTCCTTGGACACACGGAACAGCAAGCCCTTGGCCCTTAACCCAAAATCCCCTCAGCCCCGAACCCTGAAGCCTATAAGCCTTGCCCTCAATCCCAATTAAGCCGTGGATCCCGCGCTTGAAGCCCAGAACCCTCGGTGACGCAAACCCTGCAATCAAAAGCTGGCAGGCCATAAAGCAGTGCTGCTGTGATACAGGGTTCCGTAACGGCTCCATGATTTAATTAATGCCCCTCGGCCTTAAAACACGAATTCCGTCACACGTAAAGCTCAAGGTTCGCCCTGAGACCGCCTACACCGGCACGGCACCTCAAAACGCCCACCCTTTGAACATAAAAGCAGCATTAAGCATCGTAAGGTAACCCTGTAAGCCCTGTACTCTGGATCCTAAGGAATCCGAAGACGAATAGTTTGTAATGAGTAATGACAGTAATGCTAGCGACCCCAAAATCGTACCGAATCAGCAAGAGCCATCTGTTACCAAAGCCTTAGACCAAAAAGTCTCGAAGCCCTGAACCCTAACGCCTCCAACGCTACTAGGCACGGTTCAATTGTGGCCTTGTTGGCGTCGACAGGCATAAGTCCAGAACGAAATTCTCAGACAAGGCCATCTTGGAACACAGTGCAGGAGAAAGAGAGCAGCGACCCTCGCTGCAGCATGCGATGCACACCTAAAGTCTCCATTGTAGTTGCTTTTTTTGGTTAACCAAAAACTCTATTGTAGGATCCTAACCAAAAAAAGGAACTACAATGGAGACTATAGGTAACCTGAGAGGACGTCCCAGGAGCAGGCGCAAGGAGAGCCGTGGAGATGGATGATGAGGACAGTCCCTCAGGACCAAGGCTTCTAACGCCGAAGCCTATAAACCCGGATGAAACCTTGTAACTTATGACGCCCGAAGCCCCTAAACCCTAAACCCTAAGACCCCAGTCAAACCTAGTAATCCCGGTTGCTGCGATGAAGTCGACCGAAGCTACCCTGCGAAGGTTCGTGAGAAGTTCGACCTGGCCGAGCCGAGCATCGACGAATCCTTTTGGGTTTCGGGTTTACGGGCTTAGGGTTTAGGGTTTAGGCTTAGGGTTTAGGGGGGTTTAGGGTTTAGGGTTTAGGGGGGTTTAGGTTTTGGGTTTACGGGTTTTTACGGGTTTTGGCTTGGAACGTGGGTTTCGGGGTTTAGGGGTTAGGGTGTAGGGTTTCGGTGCTTGGGGCTTTTAGGGTTTAGGGCTTCGGGAGGGCCCCATATACAAGCCTGAATAACTACAAGATGCCTGCCCATCGCCACGGATTTCTACTGCGGCTGGCTGCTGTTTATTTGGTCATTCCATTTGTGGCGTTGATATTCGGATTAGAAAGCCTCAGCAAGTGCTGATGCCCAGAACATACGTAGACGCCTAAATAATCGTTATTCCTTACCTTATAGGCTTCCTTGTTAGACCTTATGAATGCTACGACACCCTCAAGCCCTTTGTTTCATTTAACCGCACAAGCCATCATCGGTAGGTTACCCGACACGGCTCAGGGTTCAGGGTTTGGGGCTTACCTTAACCACAAATAACCTACCGCAACTTTTTAAGGACTCACACAAGGACAGTGATAAGGCACCGAAAGGTAAACCCTCAAACCCTAAACCATCCGAAACCTAAACCTTGAACCCTAATACGAACCATTATACAACCCTTTTAGGTACTGGTATAGTAGTCTTCAAAGGAACCCTTAAAGGAACCCTCAAGGAAATCTCCAACGATCCGCAACGCCGAAAGCCCGAACAAAGAGCTGGAACCCCTAAAGTATCGTAGCTTCATCTCGGTTCCTGAACAAGAACCCCCCCCAAAAAAAAGAATCGAGGATTTACGATCTCAGCGGCTGGGCCAAGTCAGGCGTAGCCCTGGAAGGCGGGGCGTGCATTGGGCGAACCCCAAGGGTCCATGTACCCGAACAGGGTTCCTTTAAGGGTTACTATAAGGGTTCTATAAGGGTTCCTATAAGGGTTTAGGGTTTAAGGGTCCATGTACCCATATAGAGATACATGAGCCTTAAAGTACCTATAGAGGGACTACGTTAAGGCCAATGTATAACTATAGGAGTACAGGGACCCTTAGAGAAATTTGGATTCAGGGTTTAGGGGAGCTTTCGGCGGTTTAGGGCTTAGGGTTCTAGGGAGTATGGTTTTATTGAATTATTGTTTATGGTTCTAGGCTTTCGGGTACTAGTTTTCTGGGAGTTTCGGGGCTACCTGGACCAGAAAAGTATGTGGAAAGATGGCCGTTTATAGCTGCGGGGTGATTGTTTAAAATACTTTTTTGGAGGTTTAGGGCTATGGGTTTCGGGTAGGTTCTCCCACTCTTCAGTTCATGCACTTTGCACTGTCACGATGGGCTTTCTATAAACTTTGACGCCGTGAAAAACTGAATGCTCATGCTGATTTCCTGAACCGGAAATCTGCCTTCCTGGAGCCCCAAACTCTGACTTAGGGTTTAGGGTTTACTTAAACCCCCCCAAAGTACAGCAGAAGCCTAAAAAATGGAAACCCGATAGCCTCAATCCTTAAGAGCAAAGTCGAGGGAATCCCAGCACGATTTGTCCTTAACTAGGTTTCCAACTTTTTGGAGTTTACAATAGGCAAACTGATGGCCCAGTTCCCCTAAAAGGCTATTGTTCTACATACTTTTGGGGTCCAGGTAGGGTTTTACCGACCGCCACCCAGAGCACGACCACAAGTCGGATTCCAAACTTCCGCAAGGAGAGCCCGAGGAGCGTTTTTGGATTCGGATCGGTCGTTCAGATATTACCACAAGGGTCCAAAAGGACACAAGAATAAGCTACTTTCGTTTAGGATAGTAGTTATGTAGGTTCATAGTTGGGGGGAGTATATGATTATTAGGTACTTGGACCCTTGGGGTTATGGCTATAGGGACGTTGACACAGCGCTTTAAGGCTTAGTTTTTGCGCTTAGGGCTTCAGGGCTTAGGTCGGTTTAGGTTTTAGGGCATTTAAGGCTTTAGGGTTTATGTTTTAGGGCGTGCCGGGGTTTTTGGACCTGTAGCTCACGATTCAGTTAACTTCGGTTGCCCTATACAAGCGTGCTATCCTGCGCGAGACACTGCAGCGCATGAGCCTCAACGATTCAAGGCTCGACAACGCACAACCTCAAAAACTACACCCCGAACCTCAAAACCCAGAGAAACCCTTATACAAGCCTTGATGCTACCAAAAATTGAACGCGTAGCACAAACGCGAACCTCCAAGCGGCTTGAAAAGAGCTGAAGGCACTGGGAGCCTGGTCTTAGACCGTCAGAACCGCACCGCCTACCTCGCGCCACTTTTCTGCAGCGGTTTCTTCTTCTCTGGAGCTTGAGTTTGACGAATCCAAAAACACCTCAACTCAGGAATACCTCTCCCCTCCGGAATACTTCAGCATGAAATATAGGGATCCTGAGATACGCAAGCTTAGACACTGTTTGGAGTCTCGGGGAGCCCCACGATTGAAGGTTTTGGTTTAGGGCTTGCAAAAGCCAGAAAAGTGGAATGTTAGCATTCCCAGGCCCCAAAGCCCGAAGAGTTGGGACTTCCGATTTCAACCCTGCTTCCTAAACCTACGATGTCAAGGCAACGAGAGCTTAAGACGTCAGACTTGAAGCCCTAAACCCTAAACCCTAAACCCTAAACGCAAACCAAGAAAACCAGGAGGCCCAAGGGCTCTGAAGCTTGAAACACAGAATCCTCCCTACATCCCTGAACTCCGAAACCCTCAAAGGGGAAAGGAGGGACCCTTAACGGGGACTCCAACTCTAGAATGGGCTATATAGGGTATATAATAGCTATATTAAGGGTATATACCTAGGGGTCCTTATTAAGGGTCCCTCCTTTTACCCTTGGAAACCCCATAACCCGTTTGGCCTAAGCTCTAAACCCTTGATGAAGGTCTAATTTCCCCATCAAGTACCCTCTACTACCCCAAGTACCACGAGGGGCACGTTTTTTTATTCGCTGTGGCTACTTCGTATCTATGTATGCCTGAGAGGAAGCTTCTGGCGGATTGGGGTGACATGCTTGAGGCGTCTCCAAGTGCGAGGCCATGCGAGGTCCAAACCCCGACCAGACTTTGCCAGCTCAGCCCTACCTATCGTCTCCATTGTAGTTCCTTTGTTTAACCAATTATTATTTGTTAAGGATCCTAAGAGGTAACCCCCAAAAGGAACTACAATGGAGACTAGAGGTACACTGAAACTTGTACCTCAAAGGCCTTGAAGCCTTGTGCTGTCGTCGGCTAAGCAAGACCTACTTGGAGGATCATGGGACTTAGTAAGTAAGGTTATAAGTACCTTAATTGGGGTTATAAGTATAGTTACCCTAATTATAACCCTAGTTACTAAGTCCCATGATCCTTTAAGTAACAGTGCTGCCAGGACCTCGAAGCGGGCTGACAAGAACTTGGCTGAGATATGGGCCAAGGACCCTCTTGGTGGGTCGGGGGACTTAGTAACTGGTTATTTTAGGGACTTATAAGTACCATAACCCCAATTAGGGTTCCTTTTCGGGTACTTATAAGTCTACTTACTACACAGCCCGACGGCTGCAATTTGCAGCGCTCGAGATACCGCTTGCTTGTCTTGGGTTGATGAGTTATATAGTTTCAGGAGACCTGTCACTGTGCTCATAACTTGGAGGGCTCCCAGAGACTCCAATATCCCTTAATTAGGGAATAATCCTTAAATCATATTAGGGATCTACTATGATTTAAGGTATAGTCCTTAATTAAGGGATATTGGAGTCTTTGGGCTCACAATGAGAGTGAGTGTCGCTGTGGAAAATTCACAACACCATGGTGTCATTACTTCCCCTTGCACTGCTCATACACGCAGGAGATGGGCTACGAACTGGTCAGCTTCACGTCCAAAGATCGGCACGGCGAGGAAATCTACCACACCAATGTCCTTATGCACCTCGGCAGGGGGATGTATCGAGAGACTCTAATAAGGTGAGTCATGCCCGTACATAATATGTGCATGTTCGTCGGTTCCCCACGATCCGGAAAGAGCAAGAAGTACAATTCAGGGTCTCGGTTTCGTCTCACGATCTGAGCTTGGCGTTTGGGGTTGCTTGGATACCGCTTGCTCTCCTTTCACTAGTTGAACCTGTTCGTTGACAGTCTTAAAATACTCACCACATGTCCAAGCTCGTAGAAATTCTTAATTACAGACCTTGGGCCCAACTACTTCGCCCTGAAAAATGCGGAAGCTTTCAGGTAAGCCCGCACTCGCACCTCGAACTGTGAACCCGACAGCCTCTGGCCAAGTGGCCCCGAACGCGCTCGAAGGAGGTCGGGATAAGTAGTCATTGTATTGTATTCCCATGAAGTCCCCAAATTCTGGTATCCAAACCTACCCCGAAACAAATTAGCTAAGTGTCTAAACCCTTATTCCTGCTAAACCCTGAACTTCGAAGCCTGAACCCTACTGTAGAAGCCAAAATATTCACCAATATCATTCCTTAGGGCCTTAGGGATCCTTATTGTAAGTGTACTAGCTATGAAGGCCTCTACCTTACGCGGATGAAAAACGGTCTAGAGCTCGCATGGCTTCGACGCATTGAGGCTTTTGGGGTTGAGGCGTTGACATTTCTGGCACTTTTGGGGTGTAGGGGTTTAGGAGTTTGGGGTTTCGGGTCCAGGGATCTGGGGTTTATAGGTTTAGGGTCGAGGGTTCATAGGTCTGGAGCCTCCTTCTACGTCGAACTGGCAGGTCTGTCAATGTGAACTTTGCCGTGCCGTCGGCTCAGCTAGGGCGGTGTTTGGGTTTAGAGCTCCAGGTTTTGGTGGTTCTATAAGTATTTAGTATAGGGCTTTCGGACTTAAGAAAGGTAAGCTGGAAGCCCCGGACGCTTGAACCCTCAATCTCTGACGAAAGTTTCGCAGTAGCAGTCAAAGTTCACGCTCTGGGAGGGAATATGTATACATATATATATATATATATATATATATATATATATATTTATGTATATGATATCCCTTGGACTTGAAAATCAGGGTTGAAGGCATAGGGTCCAGAAAAAATCGAAGAGTATTGCCTTGTAGTCCCATTGTGAAGCCTACATTGTCAAGCTTTTTCCGGGGTCCGAGCCCATGCAATGCATTCTCATTCCAGCTCTGCTGTAGTTTGATACGTGCCAGGTCGTGGGAGCTCTTGTTCCGGGGTCGGCCCTAGGAGCATTATGTTCACATCTCCCACAGTGATCAAGCTTTGTATCAGAATTTACTTCGAACCCACCGCAACTCCTGGCACCCAAGTGCCCCCAGCTCCTGGTCCCAGCAGTTCTGTCCAGCACAAATGGCTGAGGCTTTGTCCAGAAGCGATTCCGGACAAGACTGAGCTCGACGCAGTGCGGCCCAGTTGCAGTTGAGACCCTCACTGCGAGGACTCCATCGACATATCCAAAACCCAGGAACGGGGGACTCCTGGTGCTGCTGCTACTGCCACTGCTGATTCGATGCTACTACTACTACTACTACTACTGCTACTACTACTACTACTACTACTACTACTATTACTACCACTACTACTACTACTACTACTACTACTACTACTACTACTACTATTACTACTACTACTGCTACTGCTACTGCTACTGCTACTGCTACTACTACTACTACTACTACTACTACTACTACTACTACTACTACTACTACTACTACTACTACTACTACTACTACTACTACTACTACTACTACTACTACTACTACTACTACTACTACTACTACTACTACTACTACTACTACTACTACTACTATTACCACTACTACTACTACTACTACTACTACTACTACTACTACTACTACTACTATTACTACTACCACTACTGTCGATTCTGCTACTATTGCGATTTTCTGCTCCTCCTCCTCCTGCTCCTACTCTTGCTGCTGCCGGTGGTGGTAGCAGGTAGCACCACACCTACTCCTGCTGCTACTGCTTGCTGCTTCTGCTTCTGCTTCTGCTTCTGCTGCTGCTGCTGCTACCAGGCCTCTACGGCGTCACTTCGAAATAATTCGGAGAAGAAGAATAGCAGCAGAAATGATGACGCGGTGACACGAATGAGTTGTTCACATGCCGATTCTGTCCAGGTCTGCTGCGACGAACCCAATTCCTCTCTTGCACCGCATCGGTCACCGATTGTACGAGAATAGACACGCTGGAAGGCCATGCGAACCACATCGAATCAGCCGCACAGATCTCGTAGTGCAGGCGACCCGTCAGAATCACACTTGAGCTGATGTTTGGACGGTTTGAGTTTCAGTTTAAGCGTTGCTTAGTTAGCTTACGACTTAGCTCTGTGCTTCCTTGCATCACACTGCCAAGGTATACTGCGCTCAGACGGAGCTTGAAGCTTGGCTGCCCAAAGTTTGGGTCTCGTTTGGTCTCTCGTCGTGCTTGTTTTCGTTTCATCCTGCTCAACAGCTTCATTTCTTCACTGGCATGATCACCTGCAAGTCCCGGAAGATAAACTCGCATGTCTCGCAAGTGCGGCAGAAGCATCGACCACTAGTCACTGGCAAGGAAACTCGGTTCAAGATCTGGAGCCGCGTAGATCCTGCAAGTCTTATGTTGCCAGGAAGGTTGTCATCCCCGTGACGATGGAGCAGCTCGAGAGCTTTGCGTGCAACTGCCTTCAGCGCCTTATGCATACATTTTAACTTTCTCGGCAGGCTCTTGAGTAGGGTCTAAGTAGAAGAGAGCGCCGCCGAATCCATAGATGCTGGCTCCAGTCAGCTTCCCTTACCTCCATAGCTGCATAGCATTAAACCGAAGGAGCATAGCATCCGAAAGAACAGGATGAACCTATTCCCTTGAAACTCATAAGCCCAACGCTGAACCCGAGAAGCTTGATGCCCTCGTCCTGTACCCGATCCCCTCGATTCCCCTCGATACATACTTACGTACTTGCAAAGTTGCATACTTACATACATACATGCATGTGTATATATACATACACACATTTATATACATACACATGTGTACACATGCACTAAGCCCGAAATGCCTCGATTCCCAAGATTGCCCCCCTTTAGTCTAGGTGACTGCATTACACCGTCCATACCCATACATCGTTTGGAAGATGGCATACTTGGGGCAGAGTTCCTGGTTCTACAGCCCCTATAGATCTCTATCGAACCCCAAGACAAGCATACTAAACCTCAAACCCCATATTGCTATAGTCATAATCACAACCCTCCAAAGCCTGAGCCCTACTTCCTGAACTCCAGCCCGAAGGACCTTACCCGAATAGGGTCATCGTCGGTGCGTTCTGCAAAGGGCCGTCAACATAGTTTCTTGAAAAACACAGAGGGTCCAAGTACTCCCCATTATAGGACTTTAGGGCTTTTTAGGTATCAAAAAAATAAGAATTACTTGGACCTTTAGGGAAAGCCTGAATCTAAACTCCTGCTGAAGGCTCCGCGGCTCTCAAGGGACAGTCCTTGCCATTTCCAAGGTCCGGCCCTTGCTTAATGTAGGAACCTGATTAAGAAACCTGAGGCCTTTATTAAGGTTCTTTATATGAATTCTACGAGTTTGGGGTTATATTAGGTGAGGCCTGTATGAGGGTTCTTTATATGAATTCTGGTAGTTTGGGGTTATAGGCCAAGGGATTCTTAATCAGGTTCCTACATTACCCAAGAGGGCTTCGCGTTTAAGGCGTAGGATTTAAGGTTTAGGGTTTAGTGTTGGAGGGTTCAGGGTTCAGGGCTTAGCGTTTCCATATATGAGCCTGAGTCGTTAGAGCAGGACTTTGGGCCGTTTTAGTCCAGTAGAACCCAAGAAACATAAGGGTTACTATGCCTAAGTCCTCAGGCTCCTACATGTTTTGGGTCCATTGTGCTGCGGAGGGGTGAAAGCCTGCATCCGAGTTAGACATCGGCCTCAACTTAGAACCCCCCTAACGAGGTTCTGGGCTTTAGGGCTTCCTAGTGTTCTACATCTTGGCATGTAGTTTCAACCGGTTATATTAACCCTCTGGGTTCCTTTTTAAATAATCATGGAGATGTTCCCAGAGCCCTAGTTCAACGATTCAGCCCTATATTTATGCTTTAAACAGCCAGGCTTGGGGCTAACCGTTGACCTGCTCTCCATTCAGGTTATTGCATTGACTATCGCGGTATTTCGCAAGACTTGGAATACATCACAATAGTATTCGCTTGAGGTTCTTTTTTATAGTAATATGACGAGAATATCAAAACACAGACTATACACCAAGAGGATGATACTCCTACCCGAAGGCTACGAAAATAGCCCAAAAGCCCTACAAAGTATGGCCTTTGGGTCTAAAAGCCTTAGGATGTGACTTTAGGGCACCCTAAACCCGAAACCCTAAACCCTAAAGAAAGGCCTGTGTGCATCTAAGCCCTGAACCCGAACCCTTAGTGTATCCTTAGGTCCTACTCTTACCAACCACAGTAAACCCCATAAAGTTGGAAACCGGATTAAGGCCAAGTAGTGCTGGGATTACCTATACATTTACTCTTAAGGATGGAGGCTACGGGGTTTCCAACTTTTAGGCTTCTACTGTAATCCTTCCGATAGAAGGCCGGCTGGGAGGCCTTCGATGACACGCAACGCAGCGTGCTCGAGCCCGGTCCTCGACCTCCCTCTCCCGAGAATTCTGTGGGGCTCCAAATAAGCAAATAGTATTTACGATGAGGTGTAAAGAAAGTACCAACTTTGGGGGTCTAGAGTATACAAATAGTACCTACTTTTGGGGGGTCTATTGTCTGTAGCTATTTTGGAGCTTCTGGGGTTCTCCATAACAACCCGCAGGTAGCCCATCTGGTGGGGGTTGTCGGTGTCGAGTTTGTTGATTGAGGGGGGCATTGATAGTTCAGTTTCCGGACTTAAGTTTCTTTTTTAGTTTAGGGGGTGGGGCGGGGGGTGTGTTGAAGTCAACATTATCGGCTTTGGGTTCATGGGTGTTTAGGGTGTGGCTGGGGGAAAATGAGGTTCAGGGACATGAGAGATCATTCTTTCTGGGGTCTATGGGTGTAATTCGCGCATACGGCTTCGGGATTCGAGCAGAGGGGGTTTGAACTTGGGAAGCTTGTTGTGAATACAGAGGCGGTTGGAGGGGGCGTTTTGATGGATGTATCATATCTCGGTCCCTAGGTGATGTGATAACGGTGCTACTGCAGCGCGGTGTACTAACTTCATTCACACGTACCTACCTACCAACATGCGTACATAATGATATACATATCTAGAATATCTAGAAAACTGTTCACCCGCGTGTGTGTGTGTATTATATATATATATGTATTTATTTACTTATATATATACACATATATATTTACTTATTTATTTATATCAAATGTATGCACATGCCCTTGTGTGTGTGAAAGAAAGAGGACGAGGGAGGGAGGGAGGGAGGGAGAGAGAGAGAGAGAGAGAGAGAGAGGGAGGGCGCGAGAGCACTTAGAGGGTTTTTGTAAAGGAGCGCAGTGGCTGTCATCAATGCGCATCGCAAGGCTAAGCTTCGGGAACAAGTTTTGAGGTCTGAAACCCGAACCCCCCCCCCCCCCCCCCCCCCCCCTAATCCCATCTGCTGGAGGTCCAAGATTTCTAGAAGCTTTTGGACTGCGCAACAAGCGACATGTAATCCTCAATCCCTGGCAGCAGGGAACCCTCAACCCTCACCTTGGGGTTTAGGATGGTTGAGGGTTCCTTACGACCTGCCATTACGACTACGTTTTCTCGACAAGCCCAACATACATTCAGCAGCCTCTGAATCGCTCTCCTCAAGCCCGAAAGCCCTGAAGCGTAAAACTTTTTTGGGAGTAGGGCAGGATTCAAGTTGGTTCGATTCTTTTGCGGCTTTAAATAATCCCAAAGCCAGAGATCCTATGTCTCGGGGTTCACTCTCCGGGGTTCAGGGTTGAGGGCTTAGAGGTTTAGGGCTTTAGAGTTTCGGGGTTGAGGGTTGAGGGTTTACGGATTGGGGTTCTAGGAGATTCTGGGCTTCTTATTTCTTCTGACACTACTCCCGGCAGGGAGCCGGATTTCTTGGGCTTGTACGGTTTAGAGGTTTATAGGGGTTTAGGTTGCGAGAACATGGCATTCGCAATTCGGCTCGTGGAAGATATGCAGCAAGAAGCCAGACAGCCCTCAGAGTCCACGCGCCCAAATCGTATACACTCTGGCTCCAAGGTACCGACCTACCTAGGGACTACTTTCAGGGCAAAGTATATACTAATCGGGTACATGGACCCTTAGGGTACTGAGCCTGGCAAAAGGCTCCGAGCTCGAACTTCTCTTGTGCCAGCGTAGGGGTGAGGGGGGGTTGCTGTTTCCTCGGCAAGGTCCTGCGTGGACCAGGTGGTAGCCGCCCCGGTGCCCGTTTTGGAGAGGCGGACCGCACCGAGGATTTTGAATACAATCGTGTCGTGTTGGTGAACAGGGGGGGGGGGGGAACAAATGCATATGGGAGTTTCCGAAAATAGGGGACCCTAATTTAGCACCATATTCATGAGGACCCCGAAATAAGGTGCCCCTAATTTTCGGAAACCCCCATGTAGACCGCAGGTTCTGTTTTCTTGTCGTCAGTTCCTATCCACCGGTGCAAGTTTCTACAATGTTACATCGAAGTCGGAGCTTTTTCGTAGCCATTGTAAGCCTCATAGAGCCTAAGCCCTACCTTAACCCTGAAGAACCTACCTTTATAGGGGTCCCTATTATGATTTCCTTATATAGGTCCTTAAAAAAGGTAGGTTCTCAGGGTTAAGGTAAGCCCTAAGCCCCAGTCTTCAAGAGCTGTTTCTTGGTACGGCGAGGCCCAACACGTCGTTACCATGAGGGCAGTTCTCTAAATTAGGGTCCCTTTTAGGCCCACAAAATAGTACGGCACGACCCAAAAAGGCTCTCCTTTACAGAGCTACCCATTGAACTGCGCAGGCGGATGTGGATTGAACCCTAAACCTGGGACCTTCCGCCCTAGACGATGTCGACTCAAAACCAGCAGCAGTTGCATCCTTGGGTTTATGGGTTTGGGGTTCAGGGTTTAGGGACCCCCCCCGCCCCGAAAGGGCTGCAGAGGAGCGTCGTGGCGAAGGGTCGTCGTTCCACGGGAACTGCCTTGATATTCGAATCCCTGTCATATTATGCTTCAAGGTAAACTCCGAAGTTAGTTGACAGCTCCCCCTTCATTGATGGTCTGAGCATTGCAGTAATTAATGTTCGGATCCCTCTTCATCATACTGCTTCTGTAAGTTACGGTTCATACCTGCAGCATTTTTCGGAGCCAGCTTTCCTCCCAGCCCAGCCGTCTGGAGAATCACGAGACTTCTGCAAGAGATCGAAGCAGAGGTAGCAGGTCCTGGGTTTGGGGTACCATACTTGAATACTTTTTTGGTACCTGTTCGTTAAAGGAACCAGTATGAAATAAAAGCCTATACCTTTTTCTCTCCCTGGTTACTTCAAAGTCCAGAGGTCAACCAGGAATGCAGCTTCCACCCTCAACTGTCGACGACCTGACCGGCAGTGTGTTGGAGAAGACGGGCGATGAATCTCAGTTCGGTGACGATGCCGTCAAGTGCATGAGGAGATGGAGCATTGAAACCCAGTCAACTGTGTGTCCTGAGGGCATCCCAACAGATGTCGCAGAGGAATCCGATGACTCTGACGATGACGATGACCCTATCGTGCTTGGCGACGTGGTTGAGGTCCGAGTGCCGCGGCGCCTGAGTCATGTTCTTACGGAGGAACGCTCTCTGCCGATAGACAAGGAAATGCGAAAGAGTCTGGTGAAAGCCAACTCCTGGGAGTGTTACCAAGAAGTTCTCGATTTCGATGTCCCGCTGGCACCGGACCGCATGGACCACGAACAACACCTGGAGCATCTCGACAGTGTGCTGAAGTTTCCAGGCAGGCTGGAGGAGTGTCTCAAGGCCAAGGGTGTGGAGGTCCAGTCGAGGTTTTCCCGAGTCTTCGAGGTGATCCTGGCTGCTGCACGCTGTCGTCCGGAAGTCCGGCTGTGTCTCTGTGCTTGGGCAAACATCTGTGTTTTGTGGTTGGCCTGGCTCTTCACCTATTTTGCGCTCTTCCACTAGCTTGAAACTTGCGTCCTAGCAAGCCAGCACAGAGTGGCTGATTGGGGTGCTTACCATCCGTCCTGCATAAGGATCTTTGTACAGTATGCCCTCAGACTTAGTTCTCCAAAACCAAAGTTCGGAGTTTAGGGTGTTTGGTGTACCGGCATACATTCCCTGCGTTCTTGGAGAAGTAAGGAGATGCCTGAACCAAAAGTTTCGCAAAAACATCTCCATTTTCCCTGCAGTCGCCAGTCTCTGGCGGCCTGTGGATCTAGACTTGCCAGACTTGTGCACAGCAGCGGCACAGCAAAGAGCGACAGGGTCTAAGCTTAATACTGTAGGGTATGGGCCGGTATGGGGTTTGGAGCCTTGTTAAGCCAGAACAAAATGTCAGCCCAGGCTCGCACTTGGCATGAAGTAGTGCTATCTTCGAGGTTGACTGAGTTGCGAAGTGGTCTATATGATTGCTCGTCAGTGTTTTTGGGTGTACCGACGGGGATGCCGGAAGTAAGAATCCTGCTGCGCATGCATTTACAGAAGTATATAAGTATGCAGATGTACACTGGCAGACGTTGATCAATGCTTTAGGAGCGTCGTGCGCTCCCGCAGACTAGGCTGTACATCTAACTAGATATAGCATCTGTATCTACATACTTCTGCATTGTGCAACCATGTATGTGGATAGTATATATGTATGTACATGTATATACACATGCATATACACGAACCAGAAGTAGCAGAAGCGTTGTAAGCACTATGCATGGTATTGTGCTGATGAGCCGCTGATGATGCGGACTATGTTGATTGTGATGGAGAGGCAACATTTATTCTGATGGCTTGAATTGCTATAACTAACTGCTTTCTGTTCTTGGTATGCTGTTTCCTAAACCCTAAACTTCCCTACAGCAACCCTAAATCCTAAACTCCTTAGCCCTGAACCTTATGAAGGGTTCATCGGATTGTCAGCCTTGACAGGCTTGGCGGCGGATCTGTGAGATGCCGCGTGGCACAGACTCAGACTGAACACTGCTGTCATGCCTTGATGGACAGAGGGGTTCTAGATATGCCCCTGTAGTCCCCATAGTACGGTTGATGATATAAATCCTGCATTACCTTAAGGACCCTAAACTATGGGAATTATGGTATATTCCTTATTATGGGTCATGCAGGATTTATACCATCAACCGTATGTCGTACTATAGCATACCGCCCAACCCTCATTCAAAACAAAGATGAAGGCCCCTATATGATATCGGCTACTCAGAGGCTCCATAGTAGTTCCTTTTCGGGATGACCTTATAAAGATTCCAAGTATGAAGCCGAAAAAGGAACTATGGAGCCCTAGGGTGATTGGAAATTTCAGAAACTGCAACACAGTAAGATTACTACTAGTCTTTATAGGAGTCTATATGGGGTTTTCCGAAAATTAGGTGTTCCTTATTTTGGGGTCCTTATAATAAGGATCTTATTGTTTAAGTAAGACTCCGCCCTGAACCGGGCCTCTCTTTGTGGATAAGGCATGGTCTCCGAGCTGTTCAAGCGCCGTGGTGAGAAGCCGGAGACTTGACTTCAATAGGGCTCGGGTTCAGGGTTTAATATAGGGACCTTAATAATTAGAACAATGTTTTGGGCCCTTTATGCGGCAACCTCAGGAATCGTTTTGGTATTTGTTTCGGCCCTCGATTAGCTTTTGCGGCCTAAGTTCAGCCTTAAGCGGTAAACCCTTTGACCCACAATCCACCTGGGGCTGTCCTCTCTTCACTCAGAGTTCATGACAGCCCATTTTGTTGCCCCCACTTGCTGTCGTAACGCGAAGCCATACATCATGAGCACCGAAGCTCTTTCGAGACACACAGAACCCTCTGCGTCCAAGCCTCAATTACTGCCCCTAAACCCCGAAGCCCAAAACTCTAAACCTTGAGCTCAGTCCTCAATTACTACCGAAACCTAGAACCAAACACCTACGACGCCCTGAGCCCGAGGCACCAAACGTGCGAACCTTACCCCAGAAGGTCCACGTAAAGTATTATTTTGGAATTTGGCCCCAAAGACCATACTTTATTGTGGCTTTTCGGGTTTAATTCCATTTAATCGGGCTTAGGCTTTCGGGGTTTAGGTTTAAGGTAGTAACCCTACGGGTCCACGTACCTTATCATCATCCATTTCCAAAAAAGGAACCTACATAGCTACTATCCGAAACCCAAGTACCTAATTATTGGGTCCTTTGGACCCTTAGGGTAATACGGTTGATGATACAAATCCTGCATTACCTTAAGGACCCCAGACTATGGGAATTATGGTATATTCCTTATTGTGGGTAATGCAGGGTTTTCATCATCAACAGTATTTGTTGTGGACCTTCTGGGTACTTTTAGAGGGCACAGTAGCCCGGGGGAGCCCGACAGTCGCATACCTCGGCCTGCATGGGTCCATTTACCTCTAGGTACTTGGAGTTTCGTGGGTAGTTATGAGTGGGATTCTTTGAAGGGATCGAAAGGGTTCAGGGTTTTTGGGTATAGTAGGATTATAGGCTTCAGTGGTAGTTACATGTGGGGTTATGAGTCCCCTAATAGGGGTTATAAGTATAGTTACCATAGTTATAGCCCTAGTTATAACTACCCATGAACCTCCAAGTAGTTCTCTAAACCAGGGTCTGGGCTTCGTTGTGACCGGTCTCATGTGCTTCCAAACTACAGGATTTCAGGCAGCCCGAACCAGATGGGCAGTTCTCTAAATTAGGGTCCCTTGCTTGGGACCCCTTCATAAGGGCAACGTACTATTCTGGGGACCTAAAGAGGGACCGGACCCACAAGATCCCTTTTAAGGATCCCTGAAAAGGGAACCTGAACTTCCAAACCCGCTCCCCTGACCTTTGGTTAGTAGGGAATAGAGGAATGGGGTACAATCATAACGACCATTACAACCATTCTTCCATTCCCTAGTAACCAAAGGTAAGTACGTCACATTGTCACCCCAGAAACCTAGCAGAACCCTTATTGAATCTGGAACCCTTAGGTTACCCCTACAGGTCCCGTGGAGTTTTACCCAAAACCCCAACACTTAGGGGACAAAAAAGCACATAAGCCTTAAGCATAAGTCTACCTTATTGGGCTTCATTATAAGGGGGCTTGTCTGGGATATCCCTATCCTAATTTTTGCTTATGTGCTTGTTTGGGGCTCTAACCCCGAGAAGATTCGAAGCTCCGGAGGCGGAGGCTGACGAGGTGAAGCTTCGCGATCTGAACCGCCTGGAAAGAACCACGGCATGGTTGAGCTTGGAGACTTAAGGGCTAGTAAACCCCTAAACCCCTCAACCCCTAAACCCCTAAGCCCCTAAACCCCTAAACCCCTAAACCCTATATACCCTAAGGGTCGAGGGTTTCGAGTCTAGGGTTAGGGAGTTGTAAGGGCCGACGGCTTTCGGGTTTGGGTTTTTTGGGGTATAGGTTCAAGGGTTTTTTAGATGGGTTTCATGCTGTTGAGTTTGTTTCGGGTGTTGGTTGTTTTGTTTTCCGTTTGAATTCGGTTGTACTGGTCTTGGTTGGCTTCGCGAGGCTGTTTTTTTACGGTCACTGGAATCAGAATCCCGGAATAGGAATAGCCCTACTAAGCCATATTGAATCCATATAGCCCAACAACCTTGAAACCATACCTAAACCCCAAAGAGCCCCAAAGCTAAGCCCTAAACCCCTACAAAGCCCTACAACCCTAAACCTCCAAATCCCAAACCCCAGAACCCTAAAACCTCTGAAACCTTTAAGGCCCGTATTCATAAACCGTCCTAAACCCCTACATACCAAAACACGATGAACCCCCAAAGAGCCGTATCCCTTTTCAGATCCCCCAAGTAATGCGGCACCCTTATAAGCACTAACTCTACGGGGACGCCAAAGCCTCTAAACCCTAATCCAAATCCTTCCGGGCAGGAAGCTTTCTGAAACCCCAAACAAACCACTTACACCCTAAAACCTAAACCCTACCTTAAGCCACCTTTTTAAGGACTTATACATGAAAATCATAGTAAGGAACCCTAAAGAAGTAGGTTATTCCGGCTTAAGGAAACCCCCAAACCCTAAACCCAACCAGCCCGAGGTGAGCACTCTCGCCTTGAGCTCGTCATCGTGCACGAGCCGGGTCTTGAGGCACACCGCCGAAGGCTTTAAGGGATTGGGGTTTAGGGGCTCAGGGTGTGAGGGTTTTGGGTTTAGTGGTTGAGGGGTTGAGTGGTTTTAGGCTTGGGCTTGGGGGTGTAGGCTTCAAGGCTTTAGGGGCTCAGGGTTTTGGGGTTAGGGGTTGGGAGTTTGCTGGGTTTAGGGTTGCTTTATAGGTTTTGCAGGGGTTTGGTAATAGTCTATACTGTGTATACTTTCATATATTCTTGCAAGTGGGTTCAAATGAGTTCTATAGGATCTTTGTTTCATGGTTGTGGAGACTCAATACTGTAACTTGTATTAGGCTGTCGGCTTCCTTCTGCACAGGGTGTATAGGGTTTACGCTTAAGCTGTGTGGGTCTGTTGTTTCGGATGTAGGGCTAAGGGTCCACCTTTTCGTTTTTCGTCCTGGCTGATTGCTTTAAAGCCTTGGGCTTAGCGGTTGCAAGCAGTCCTGCATTAGTTGCCTTAGGGTTTTCAGGTTTCGAGCGCCGCTTGGGCCACCCACTCACTCACAATTCGGGTCCAGGATTATCCGGCGTATATGATCCTCTACTCCTCTACTAAGGCTTTGCTTTTCAGAATCCAGGAATGACTCCGGCCATGCCCCCACTCCCCAACCACTCATTGGGTTCAGGGGCCTTTAAGATTGTCAATGGGGTTATTGGAGTGTAGGGGTTTTAAGCCCTGAACCCTAAAGCCTAAACCCTGAACCCTAAACCGTATGTTTAGAGTCGGGGCCGACAGTTGGGTATAAGGTGGACAGTGTGGGGTGCAGGAGTTCAGGGCTTAGGATCCCTGAAGTTCGGATTCCCAGCCACAGGGGGTTTGCGAGTTTCACAGTATTCATTATACCGCTATGATTGTCATAGCTAGTAGAATACTGATATTGAAAATGGCGATTCTAAATGTCAGTAATTACCACTGTTGATATTATGAATGATACTGCTAATACGGGGCACTGTAGTTTTGACGTCCGGCAAGGTGGATGCTGTCATGCCCTGGACTTTGGACACTATGAAAGTTGACGCTGCCAGCCTTATGTCAGGATCGAGTTTAGGGGTTCATAGGGTTCAGGGTTTAGGGCTCTTGTTGCGGATCTGCAGGTGCGCTATGCAATGTTCATGGCATGTCTTTCAGCAGTGCGCAGTGCAGGGAAAACATGCGAAGCATGTCGCACTGTTTGGGGTGGCCCTTTGTGTCGTTGTCGAGTGTGCATGGCTCATAGGAGTGGGGACCTCGAAAGGCCTTCATGTACATATATATATATATATATATATATATATAAATACACACATACACACTCACAGATATATATATATATACATATATAGATATATATATATATATATATACAAATATACAAATATACAAATATATATACACATATATATATATATATATATATATATTCGCATCGTACACTTAGTGTTTAAATTAAGATAAAAGAATGAACCATAATTTTGGTAGCAACAATAATAATCACCATATTGTTTTTGGAATCCAACGTACTGCGACTGCAGCTGAGGAGTGCTTCAACCGTGTGGACCTGATGCTGGCTTTCCTTGGAAACATTGTCGGGGGTTTTGCATTGTTAACTAAACTGAGATGAAGTACACATACACGCACTTGGGTTATTTTACAGGTGTATACTGCATAGCAACTGGACCGGCACATCGTAGAAAAAATACAGACAGACATGCGAATAGGCGTAAGTGTGCACATGCACCCCATCTGCACATGCATAATTACGTCTGTTGATGACTAGATCCACAAACCTTTCCAGAATATGCGCCTGAGGCTGGTTGAGTCGGTGCAGTGTGTGGATGCTATTTCCGCATTTGCGTAGAGGACCCCTGTGCTCCCGCAGAGCCCCAGGCCTCCAATCGCAGCACCATGTTTTGAAGCCCCATTTCTAGACCAACTCTAAACCCTTGCTTTGGACTACTCCCTGGTGCTTAGTAGGGAATGGGGGAATGGATCTATATAGTAGTCTCTATATAGTCCTTACTATTCGTCCCCATCATCCATTCCCCCATTCCCTACTAAGAGCCAGACAGACTAGCCAAGGAAGGCTCAGCATCGAACCTTCACGACTCTGCTGCAGTCGCGTGGTGCGCAGGCCCCGAGACCTCGGTTTTGACTGAGCCCGCTCTGCTTTTGAGTTTCGGCTTAGGACTTGCAGGGCCTGCAGTGCCCGCAGGGTATGTAAGCGCCTTAACAGTTACCTATACTACTGTTGATGGTATAAATCCTGCATTACCTTAAGGACCCCAAAGTATGGGGATTATGGTATATTCCTTATTATGGGTCATGCAGGATTTATATCATCAACCGTAGTCTGGGGGTTCCTTATTATATTTATAGCATAATGGGCCCCAAAATCCTATTCTAACTATTGAATCCCCTATAGTAGGCTGTTGTTATAGGTCTCGGATGACCACCGCGACTCCTGGTCCCGGAGACCACACTGAAAGTCAGAGACTAGCCAAGCGATTTAATGAAAGGTACCATCAGAAGGGAACCATGTTTAAGTTACCATAATAAGGAGGATCTATAGCAAATCGTACGCCATATTACTTACTATCGATCCCTATTATTATGCTAACTTAAACTACATTCCTTAACAAGAAGCTACGATGTGCCATTTGTTAAACCCAGAGCTCGGTTGCATAGCAGCCTCCAGCCCAAACCTGAGACAGCCGGAAGCCCCAGTTCCCCACACCCTATAACGTATAAGTCGACGGTTTTTTGATTTAGGCATGTTTAGGCCAAAGCCTTAGGTTTCCTATTCAGATTTACACCACAAGCCTATTCAAACTGCTGGCCCCTGCCTATAGTCTCCATTGCAGTTCTCTTTTTTGTTGAACCAAGTGTTTAATTAGGATCCTATAAGGTAACCCCGACAAGGAACAACAGTGGCGAGTCAGGTGGATTAAGGAGAACCTCTGACTCGATCCTATGATCCGCCCATGCAGGTCGTCCACGTGCGAGACCTCCTCGTCGAGGACGGCATTTAGCTCCATGCGTTTTCTTACAACTTCACATGTGCGATTCCATCTCCTCATGTTGTAGCGTCAATCCGCTACACTTAGACATCCGGTCGAAGCCTACCCAAACGGTCCAAGTACCAACGTTAGATATTTGGACGCCCCAAAGTATTGAAACAAAAACTAGACTAAGCCCTATACCCCACTAGACCCAAAGTACATATTATACTCTTACTGGTACCCTAAACCCTAAACCATGCTTCTAAGATCATCGTGTTTCACACAGTGTATGTCTGCAAAGACAGACTAGGGTGACCTAGCCAGTACACTTAAAAAAAAAACATGCTTCTAGTCTTCGCAGGTCAGCCACCAAGGCGAAGAAATCCGCCGCAGCCTGACACATGTTGGCCGGAGGGGGTTGGCATTCGGGTCCGAGGGTTTAGGGTTTTAGGTATGGAGCTGGTCATGTATGACAATCCCCAGTGCTTTGTGGAGGCTCCTAGGGTGAACTACTTGAGTCCGAGAGCGATGCCTAGAAATCCTCTTCGCCACCACTCGTTTTAGGGTTCAGCATTGCGGGGTGCAAGGAAGCATAATGCGGCACAACACGTGCACTTGGTTTGACAACTTCTTTGCACCATCTAGTTAGTCTAGTTGCTTCTCGGAGGTAAGCACATAAGCCACATAGGCGCAATCTGGCAGATTGAAGCGACAAGTTTGCGAGCGGTGAACCACATCGAGCACTTCCCTGTCTTTGATTTTGGGATCAGCGAAACTGCAAACCGGACGCAATTACGCAGTGGGGCGTCTCCCTCTGCATCCGAGGCAACTGATTCAGTACCTAACCCCCCCCCCCCCAAAGTAGGTAAAATGATGGCCCAATTCCCCGAAATGGCTATTGTTCTACATACTTTTGGGGTCCAGGTAGTGTCTTGATCGTGCCGGCCGCTTGCACTTAAGATGCGAGTTCCCTTGCACTTGCGGCGTATTTCCCGTTTAACAGTTTCACGCTGGTAGCAGGGTTGCACCCAAAAGCGAGCATACACACACATACATCGATGTAAGCATATACATAGTATACGGTGGTATACATGCGTACATACACATGATGCACATGTAGGCACATGTATATGGGAGACGGAGAGAGACAGCCAGACAGAGAGAGAGAGAGAGAGAGTCAGAAGGTGGATAATTTTTGTAGAGAGAGAGAGAGAGAGAGATATAGAGTGCTTTGATCATTTCTAGCACTTCGTCAAAGCGCAGCCTTCAGTTCCGCTAGGATACCAGGCTCAAGACTTTCCAACAAGTTCCGAGCTTTGCCACAGCTCAGGGGATCTCTTTGAGTCCGTCTGGGGGAAGGCGGGTTTGTTGTTGAGAGTTTTATTGGGTTCGAGGTTTAGGGGAGAGTTTAGGGTTCGCGGTTTGGGTGGGGTCTTTCAGCAGAGATTTCCAGGGAAGGGTTGGAGGAGGGGGATTATAAGGTTTAGGACATCCCGCATAGGAATTGGGCTTGGCAACTTGAGCACTTAGTTTCAGATTTGGATAAGTGAAGCTGTCCCAAACAAGATAGTCAAGCAATGAAGGATCCATGAGAGATCGACAGAGAGATCGACTTCGTGTGCTTGTAAACGGGGCCCCACGGAAGAAGGCGCCCGAACAATGCTCCAGAGTGTCTATGTGCTTCAAAATTTACGCTCCAAAGTCACAAACATTAGCAATTGGACTTGAACGCCTACCACGCCTGCCTACAGTCACCCAAGCCGGAAACTGCAAGCCGTGAGCTGTCTACCATTTAGAGTCACCGCCCTTTTAAGGACCCCTGGGAGGAGCTGCAGAGTATTTGGGTCCTACCTCACCCCCTGTTTTAGGGTACCTACTTAACAGGCCTTGTAGCCATAAAACCAGGTGCCCAAAAAGCAGAAAGGACTGTTGTGGCGTGTATATAGATACGCAGTTGTTTTTCAACTAAAGAGTCTTTAAAGTTTCAGGGACTCTTACCCTTATAGCAACCTTATAGGAACCCTTATAGTATACCCTTAGCCCTATGGTATCCCTTAAGGGGACTCTTACCATTGGGCCACACTTCGGAGGATCCCGGTCCCTGAAGGCAGAGACCCTCGGCGCTGTCAACCTTAGAAAATCCACTTGGAGGGTCGGGGGACATAGTAACTGGTCACTTTAGATAAGTACCATAACCCCAATTAGGGTCCCTTTTTAGGGTACTTATAAGTCTACTTACTACCTACTTACTAAGTCCCTGAACCCTAAACCCTATAGTACCCCTATAGAGCCCTTTAAAGGAACCCTTAGGATCCCCTTTAAAGGAGCCCCATACTAAGTCCCCGGACCCTCCAAGCTAAAAAGCCTCGAACTCCCAAACTGGCGCCCAAACCCCTTAGGAAACCCACCTGAAGATTCCGGTGTCGTGACTACCTCGACCCCCAAAAGTATGTAGGATCATAGGGGTTTTAGGGGAATTGGGCCATTATTTTACCTACTTTGGGGGCTTTAGGTACCGCCTTGAAAACCCTTTCAAGCTCTAGAAGAAAGGACGGAAAATGCTTTGAAGGATTTCGTTTCCCAGCACAACCTGGCAAACCTGCAGATCGATCAGCTCATTACTGGCCTTTCCCGGGCGCCTTGGGAGTTCGAGAGAAGATTTTCTGAAAGTGCGAGGTAGATGTGACGGATCAGGGTCAAGGGTTTTAAAGTTTATCGTTGATAATGCAACGGTTTTCAAGCATTAGAATAAGGAGTTTATGATAAGTATATATGGAGAAGCCCTAATGAATAGTATTGCTAAAGATTCAGGCTTCTCTATAAATTACGGGTGTGGCCATAACGAGGGTTCCAGATGGAATCTGTACGGGCTTTGTTGCGGTGTTTGGCAGGGGGGTTCGAGGGTCCACAGCCCTTAGACTTGGGTACTTACGCTTCGCGTAGTAGCCCAGTATGATGTGGCATATATGAGCATTAGCCGCTTGGACCCTCATGGTACGGGACCCCAACCCAAGGCCCACCGCCCTCAAAGAATCCAAAGATTTACACCTTTCAACTTCTCGCCCCCTTGTGATGACCGTACGGCTTTTCAAAATACTCTGGAACCCATAAGGACCATAAGGGGAAGGGAAAATGGACCGTACCTGGCAGCATCCTTTATGAAGACATTTCCAAGTTTCACAACCACCCCTTTCCTTTGTGCCCTGCTTCTGCAGGTTCACAAGTAAGCATGCAGTCCTTGATACAGACTATAATTATAGTGTTTGGGATTTACGGTTAATGGTAGTATTGGCTGGAATACTTGACCGACACATGGCCCGCAAGCGTGAGCTGCTTTCCATCCTATAGCTCTAGAAAGGTCTCAAGACAACCCAGCACAGCACAGAGCCCCTATGCTTGAAACGCTAAGCCCTATACCTTAATCCCTATACCTGTAAACCCTACAAGCGCTACAAACCCTATAAACCCTACAAACCCTATAAACCCTAAACCCCAAACCTATGCTTTAAAGCTCTAAGCCCTTCCCAGGACTCGCTCCAGTTTGAGCAGCCGCCGTTAATGAGCTTCGGAAGATAAGCAGCGCTTTGCCATCTTTGTGTTGGCCCTAAACTTCCATAAAGCCTTCGGGTTTAGGGGTTTAGGGTTGAGGGTTTAGTAAAGGCAAAACCCCAACTTGGAAGAATTGCCTTTGCAGGTGTTGGACAATGATTTTACCTAACTTTTGGTGTGCAGGTAAACCTCTAAGCCGCAGAGCCCATGAACCCAGCCACGGATGCACCAACCAATGAGTCCTGAATGCACAAACTCGCGGCACTCACGTATTGAAAGCATAGGGTTGTCGCAAGCATTCAGGCATGGCTGTGCGATTTTGGCATTGTAGCTGTGACTACAGGGTTTAGGGTTCAGGGACTATCGATGAAGCTGCTTTGCTTTGCTCCTCTGTTGGTACTCTGGAGCATAAAGAACGGGCTTTGCAACTTGTTTCTCCCCTAAACCCTAAATCCTACATTCCCCTAAGCCCTAAACCCTGCATTGCCCTATTTGGCATCAGGAATCTCTTCTTCATGCGCGATCCGATCTTTTGCGTGCCAGGAGGCAGCTCTACCGAACATGTGTTGTCTCAGGCTTCAAGTTTCGTCTGGTTTCAGTAAGGACATGACAGAAGTTTATGTAACATAAATAGCCGCAGACTATATGGCCCCTTCGGATACATCATCGGGATCTCTTCATCAGCTGGTCGATAGCTCCTAGGCGGTATTGGGGAGACCCCTTAAAAGGGGACTCCGAAAAGGGACCTTATTGAGAGGGTCTACATCCCTGGTCCCCTTAATCCTAACTCCTAGTACCAGGGTGGCTTTGGAATCTTTGGTGAGCCTAACTAGGGAACAGAAGTTTCGTAGACCCAAGTAGACTACAGCAAAGTTGGAGTTTCAGAAAGCCCCTAAACCCCTAAACCCAAGTGTCCACAGCCCCGAATACAGAATTCAAAGTTGGAGATCTTTAATATGGTCGAAATCTTTTCATCAGCTGGTCCATAGCTCCTAGGCAGTATTAGGGAGACTCTTTGAAGGGGAACCCGAATTCAGAATTCAAATTTGGAGACGTGACGACGCCACAGAAGAGGCCCAGAAGCCCCCGAATTGCTTTTCATGAGCCTAATACCCATGATTCGGGATCCCATTAGGGGATGCGTATAGTCTATATATATATATATATATATATAGTATGTACATACCTGTAGTATATACATGTGTATTACACACAATACATACATATGTATATATATATATATGTGTGTGTAACATGTATGTATATATGTATATAAATATCTTTGTGAAAAGCTTCTTCTACTTAGGGTTTTCACTGCCTTCACAGAGTCCCTGGAGATTCTTATTTCGCCCGGGAGCGACTTCTCGAAGACTCCAAGCTTTAGGGTTGGCTAAAACATAAGGACTCCCAATCTCTATCGCAAGCGCCCAAATCCGAATCTATGAATCTATGCATCGCCTAGCGCTTCCGAATGCTCACCTCGGGAAGATTTTAGCATACTCTTCTACCTAGAAGCGAATCTTTACACCAAATTCTAACCCCAAATCCGATTTTTTAAGCTGTGCGAAAACTGCAATCCCCAATCCCTAAACCCTGACCTGACAATGAGCAGAACATCCGACCAATGGAGGTTAGGCAGTGATAGCACCCTGTAGCGGGAGCCTACCCATAGGCCCCATAGTAGAGACGTTTTGAGATTACCATCTAGGATTCTAAATATTAACCCAGAAAAGGAACTACTTTGGGGCCCATGGGTAAAGCCTAAACAGGGAACCCTTGAAGAAGCCCGCTCCGAGGTTGGGCGGTGATAGCTAGACCTTTCTATGCCATCCGCCAGCGGGAGGCTCTCTGACCTACTAGCCGTAAGGGCCATGTGCTCACAAAGGATAGCTGTGTGTGTGTATACATATATATAAATAGATTTTACACACATGCATATGTACATATATGCAGATGTACATATATACATAGATACATATGTACATATTTACATATGTATATATATATATATATATATGTGTGTGTGTGCACATACACATAGGAGCATTCGCGTACTATAGAAGCCAGTTGCAACTTCAAGGTTTTGTTTCTGCAAGGGTTAAGGCTATCCATGTACCCCGAGGCTGCAAGTGTACAAGCCTACCTATAGTCTCCATTGTAGTTCCATTTTTTGGTTTACCAGTTTTATGGTTAGGATCCTATAAAAGAGTTTTTGGTTAACCAAAAGAAGGAACTACAATAGAGACTATAGGTAGCCTTTATTAGGCGCGGAAGTCTAGAAACCGTATCTACTTCAGGTCTTCGGGTGATTTGCTGTCGTCGTTCATCTTTCTTTGCGGCCTCAGCTCAAAATCTACGGATTCCCACAGAAAGAAAGGCAACTGGGGGTTAGCACGTCCTCGGTCACAGATGACAGTACTTTGGGATCCCGGTGATGCTACGGATCGCAGAAAGGTAAGTAACGTGTCCTGGCGGCTGACTGCAAAGCTTACCAAAGAGGTTTGGGCCATGTTCCTGCTGTCGCACACCCGGTGCTGAAAAGCCACAGAGACTCAACCAACAAACCCTAAACCCCTAAACCCGAAACCCTAAAGCCCTAAACCCCTAAACCCTAAAGCCCTAGACCCTAAACCCCTAAACCCTAAAACCCTAAAACCTAAACCCCCCGGATCCTGAAGCCCAAAAGAAGGAAGCCTAGGTCAACAAACTACTCAAGGAAGCTCAGCGACACCATGTTGATCAGGGTTTAGGGTTTAGGGTATAGGGTTTAGGGTTTAAGGTTTAGGGTTTATAGGGTTTAGCGTTTATAGGGTTTAGGGTTTAGGGGCTAAACGAAGCTATCAAGCAACACAGGAAAGCATGCACAACTACCACAGCAAGAACAGGTAATTACTTCCCCTAAACCCTAAACCCTAAACCCTAAACCCCCGTGGCCAGAAAGAGACTCGTTGGTAGTAACACTACGTTGGTTACTGGTACCACAACAGCTCTCCTTTGTCATCCATAGTTGGGTAGCGTTTTAGAGTTCAATTGGTACATAAGCCCAAGAAGGAATGCAAGTTCAGATTTTTTTTATAAAATCCCTACACCCTCAACCTAAGCCCTGAACCCTTGAACCCTGAACCCTTACAGTAAGCCCCATAAAGTTGGAAACCGGATGAAGGCCAAATGGTGCTGGGATTCCCTATACATTACTCTCAAGGATCGAATCTATGGGGTTTCCAACTTTTGGGCTTCTACCTTAGATACTTAAGCCTTAAAAGGGGTCCCTATATAGGTACTTTAAGGCCTAAGTATATACTATAAGGGTACATGGAGCCAACTATAGCCCTAAACCTTGAAGTCTTCTGGTGAGGCACAACTCCTTCGGGCGATCTTCCGACTGCATCCCAGCCTCCAGGCCGTAAAGGGAACTCCAGAAAGTTGGAATGTTACTATAGGGGTACTATAGGGGTTAGTATACTATAAGGGTACTATAAGGGAAGTCCAGAAAGTTGGAATATGGTTTCAGGGTAGGATACCCTATAATTTACCATGAAGGGTTTAGGATAATCATATTCCAACTTTCTGGCTTTTACTGTAGCACGAAGCAGCGAACCCCTGCGGCTTTGACGGGGTTAGGGTTTGGAGGGAGGGTTTTTTGGTTCGGGATGGGCTTATTTACAGAATCGGGGGACGTAGAATTCCCTAACTTATAACAGCTAAAGTAGATACGGCTTGAAAGGAGATGTATCTATAGTCACCTTGAAATGAGCCCTACTTACCAAGTCGCCTGATTCTTTAAGTAGAGCCACCCTGGCCCACGGCGCGCGCCCCGCTGTGTCCAGAGGATTGTTTGGTTTGTTTCAGGATGAGTAGGTTATGAGAGTCAATCGCTCTGCGGTTCGTGATGCTGGAATAAGAGAAAGGCAGGTCAGCGAGAACAAGCAAGGTTGTTGGATTCGGAAGCCTCCGACAACTACCCCGCCCCCTCACCACCACCGCCCCCGCCCCCTTACCCAAAGCACCCACCCTAAACCTTAAACTCCTAAACCTAAATCCTAAACTCCTAAACCCCTAAACCCCTAAACTACTCAACCCCTACAGCCCCAAAACCCCTAAACCCCTAAACTCCTGAACTTCTATAACCTAAACTATAGGGCAGTTCGCCTGCATGAGCCGCACATGTTGGCAGGGCGTCAAAGTCTTCGAGGACCTGGCCGATGACCCGGAGGCCAGAGATTTCTTAAGGTTTAGGGTTTAAGGGGACAGCCGTCTTATTCGGGATTCTGGCCAGCCATAACCGAGACTCCGATCAGAGGCTTTACCATAGGGGATTTCGGGGCTTAAAGCTTGGGGTTCAGTTGAGAGTCGGGCAAACACGCGCGGCCGAGAGGCGAGTGTGCTCCAGGGACAGCATTCATGTTCTAGGAAGTCATACACATTTGCTCTGCGATTCGGTTGATGATACAAAGCCTGCATTACACATAATACTGGAATACCTTAATTTGCATAGTTTAAGGACCCTAAGGTAATGCAGGATTTGTATCATCAACCGTTTCGATGCGTAGCGCCTGAGATCCCATTCGAAGCCCCCGGCGCCATCCTATATCTAGCAACCCTAGGGCTGCAGCAAGGGACTTGGCACTCGAGCATTGCACTAGAGACGTCCATGCATGCCATGAACTGCAAAATCTAGATACCTCCTTCCGCCATGTCGAGTTCGGAGACTACAGACCCGGATGCGCTAGAGAGCTCGGAGTCGGAAACGACGTCTACAGACCTCGAGGGGCCAGGGACTTCGGGATCGGGCTACAGTGGTTCTTCGGACACGGAGTACTCAGAGTACAGTGTGTGCTTCGACTCCAGCTCCAGTGATGCCGCTCTACCAGACTGGGATGAGGCTTGTGACCGTGCAAGGCCACTCAGCAATTGAATTACTTTGTGTTTGCTGAACTTATCGCTGACATTGATTGCTTCATTCAGAGCTTAGGCGAGACCCTGTGATCTCCCAGAGACTGAACCGTGCACAGCGAAACTATGTTTCTGGCTGGGGAAACTCGATGTTGTGCCGCACCGGACACTGGGCTACATCGTGCATGCTGGTGCGAGCTCTTTTCCCACCGATTTGCATAGCCGCATAATAAACCCAGGAATGCTGGGAAGGGTGAAAAAATTCCTCAACTACGACTTCCCGGTGATGTCCGATTGTGCCTTGTATGTGGTATCATGCATGGTGCACTTTAGTGCTGCCGGGTTTCAAGGGTTATTGTTTTCGTCAGGGCTGCTTGGATCATTGATTGACCGATTTTGAGGCTCTGGAGCCGAAGGCGGCATTCTTGCTCTGCAAGCGCTGGGGATCAAGGCCAGGACGATTTAGTCTCAAATGGGTGCAGTCCAAAACAATCAAATGCAAACAATGACAAATCACTGCTGAGGTAGACCACATCAGCTCCTCCGAGATTAACTGCATTGCAACGGACTTCCTCGCTCACAACTTCCGCCCGCGTGTGCTACTTTGCATGCCTCAGTCTTGTTCTGCTGTGCTACTAAGGGCTAGATAAATGTGGCACTATGATAACTCCCAGCTGATTGTCACATGAGGTTCTACCCGGATGTTTGCAACCGGAAGTTGCAGCTTGAGAACTACCGAAGCGGTGCCCTCATCGCCGGCTTCCCCTGCCAACCGCTGCTTGGTCGAAGCCTGTTTTGTTGCAACATTGACATGTCGGCAGCAGTCCCAACAGCAGTCCATGAAGCGCATATCGGATTCAGGTTCAGTGTGCTTCGGAGAGACAGCGATCTCCTCGACGAAGAGGACTCAGAATTCTAGTGTATGGGTGGGGCAAGTTTAGGCTAAAACAGTCTTCAATCGAGATGCGATGCTGTCGGGCAGCCCACAGGCTGCAAAGCCCTTCTTCGCCATCGTCAAGACCATCGGCGAGTCCCTTGGCTCGGTTTAGCTGGTTGCCTCTAAAACGGAAACAACGAGAATGGAAGAGTGTGCTGAGGCTTCGGGTGCCCATCTATATCCTTGAGAATGTGAGGGGGATCAAAAGATGCCTCGGGGCAGTGAACGAAGAGTTGCACAAGCTCAGAGACTACTATCATGCCATCATGGAGATTGACGCCAAAGAGATAGGAGATGTGGTGAGCCGACCCCGGCTGTATTTCATCGGCGTTCTGAGGACACTGCATCATCTTGTTATTCGTACCTAAACTGGAACATGTGAGACACTGCCCCATTCCATAAACCCCAAAGCAGGAGCGTGGCAGCCCCTGAAATCTCCTCGAATGCGAAGCTGCAGAATGCCGTGAACTCCATCCTCACAAAGGCTAAGAGGAACTGCACCCCGCCGACGCCCTGGCATAAACTCCTATTGGACGACTCCGATGCGGTCCAGGAGCCGCCGATCAAGAGAAGGAGGCAAACCCAATTGGATCTGCGCTATGAGAAGCTCGGCCTTGCATTTGATTAGGTGCTGCATGTCCTGACACCTGTCATGTCACCCCCCAATCAATTCCAGTCAGATCTCTTGAGGCCTCATGACACAGGACTGCGATGGCCTTCGATTCACTTCAAGTTTATGAAGGACCACAAGGCCCGAGTGCAGGAGCTCCCTACTTCACCATTTTGCACCACTCTCTACCAGGTGAATCCGAGGAAGCTGGTTAAGTCGGACTTTGCCCGTGCGGCCTTTCCGGACCAACGGAGACAGCACGCACTCTGGACTTTAAGTCGTTTGCAATCAGTCACTCGTCAAGACAAAACGGGAGCAACGACCCTTGACTGTGGCAGCTAAGGCAATCGATATCCTATCGACAATGCACGGGCAGGACCAGCCGAAGATTGTGAATGTGAGCCAGATGATCAACCGCATGCACGTGGCGCACCGCTGGGTACCATGCCTTACACCCTCCAGCTGTATGTACTTGCTTCACCGTGGCCGGTGTTTGACAGGCCAGGAATCGAGTGTTTTTGTTGTGCAGTGGTAAGTTACTTGGATATAGAAATGATCATGGTTGCGCGCAGGCATGGAGATGCTGATGTTTCAAAACTTCGATGTGTCCAAGCTCAACCTCTATGGGTTGTGCGACAAGGACCGGGGTCGTATTCCTGATCAGCCGGATTTGGTGAGTTCCGATGCATCAGTGCTGGCGGGATTGTGGTATGGGTATTAATGTATGTAGATTCGACTTAATGTGCACAGTAGTGGGCCGATCTTGTAGTGCTCGGGTGGGTTTTCAGTCGACCGGTCAGGCTATGTTTCGGGTGTGATATGTGATCAATAAGCAGTAGATAACATAGGCACATAGGCTTAAGCAACTCGTTATGAACTTGTAAGTCTGATGATGCTGGTTATGTGGTGTCATTCTCCATGGTTCTGGTGGTCTGTAGCTTCTTGGGTTTCTGAGACACGGGGTTCCCTTCGCTAAGTTGGACCCCAGTTTCATGAAATTAACATTTACTCATCCGGCTACACCCACCCGCCCCGGCTGAGGGTTTCGGATCTTTGCTAGTTCATCGTTTGGTTTTCACGGTATCGTCGTGGGCTCTGGAAGCAGCATTCAGGGTTCGGCTGGTCGAGTATCTGGGTCTTCCTGGTTTGGTGGCATGATAGTCAGCTTTCAGTGATTTAGTCTGTGTTCAGTGTGTCTCGAGTGGACTTTGAGAGTTCATAGGGCTGGGCCGGCGGTTGGATAGTTGAAACGGGATGAAGTCGGCTGATTGGTGGGTTAGATTCATTTACAGTTCTCCTATTGGCAGTGTGGTTTTCGAGGTCTTTTCACGGCTGTGCTTGCAGGGGCATCATTTCGTGTTTCCGGTCTCTTCAGAGTGCCTCGGAAGACAGTTCTGGGTATTGTCGATTTGGCAGGTGGCTATATTATGGTGTGCTCGACATTTGTTATGTTGTGCTTGACATTCGTTGTGTTGCCTAAATAACTATATGATGGCCGCTGGCAAAAATTACCTATGTAGCTCTAACCTGATGTTGAAAGCTATTCGGCTGGTTTTGTTTTATGGACCAGGTCACACTAAGGTATCGACCTTAGCTTCATTATAGATCCTGGTTGGTAGAACTTCAAGCCTGAGGTAGCTCGAGGGTTTCGTCATGCATCTGGGACACCCTGTGTTCTAAGTATGACTGATTCTGATGGTTTTGGGGTATGTGGCTGCCAGCAGTTTTTGGCTCATCGAGATTCAAGGGTCCGAATGAGTTAATTCACTCTGATATCGACTTCAATTTAGTTTACCAGCCAAAGTGCTGGTAATAAATTCGGCGACACCAGTCCCAAGCTGACTCCTTCTTGCGGCTGCGTTGTTGCTGCAATCTGCTGATGAAACCGACTGAGATTGACTTGACTTGAGGCGCATCGTCGGTTAAAAGAAGATTTACAAAAATCATACTAATAATGTAACAACTCTAACTATTTATGTCACACTTCGGTTGTGGTACTGCAGAGCTTAGTAGGCTCCGCTCTTACTTGTGTTGGTCATGTAACGCACTCGGGTCATTGCCTTTTGGTGCCGCAGAATGCATTCGCATCCTTCGCAATATGCGCTTGGCCGTATCACGTGCGTGCCGGGGACATGATGGACTAGGGTATCATGATTCAATCCTTCAGATGTGATGACCTACATAGAGACTAGCTGGGGCCCCAAAGATAGCTCTCGAATTCTATCGGTTGTCGTTCTGCACACCGAACCCATATTGAATCGAAAATCCTATCCACCTCGCACTTCCAGGACCTGCGGAGGCTGGCAGGGAATGTGTCCCAGCTGCAACGTGACAGTGAGTATCTAGTGTCTTGGTCCGGCTGCCTGGCAATTGTTTGATTGAGGCGATGAATGTGCGATCTGCAGCGCTGGCATGGATTGGCGCTTTCAGCGCCGTGGATTTGACTCGGCTCCAGGAGGAAATCCATGCGCGTGGCCGATGAAGTGCTCCGGTCTGCAAAGCCTCTTGTGCCTATGCTGTCTGTGTCTTTTGGGTCGGGTGAAGATCACGGGCTCTGAGGACCCAGTCTTATCACGATGAGTGGCTGGAAGTGCTCCGGTATGCAAACCCTGTTGTGCTTATGCTGTGTCCGTTGGGTCGGGTGAAGATTTTACACTGGATCTGAGGACCCAGTCTTATGACCATGAGTGGCTGGAAGTGCTCCGGTATGCAAAGCCTCTTGTGCCTATGCGGTGTCTTTTGGGTCGGTGAAGATTTTACACTGGCTCTGAGGACCCAGTCTTATGGCGATGAGTGGCTGGAAGTGCTCCGGTATGCAAAACCTCATGTTTCTTCTTTCTTGTCGGGTGCAGTTTGTTTTGCCGGCTCTCAGGACCCACTCTTTTCAGGATGAATGGCTGGAAGTGCTCCAGTCTGCAAACTCCTGTAGTGCACATGTCGTTTCTTGAAGATCATTTTGTCGTGGCTTATTAAGGAGTCGCGTTTATGGCTATGAGTGGCTGGAAGTGCTCTGGCATGCGAAACAAGTTGTTGTGCACATTCTGTGTCTTGCGTGTCGGGTGAAGTTCCTGTTAGTGTCTCTAGGGCCAGTCTTTTTGGTGATGAGTGGCCTGGCTCGAATGCTCCAGTCTGCAAAGCCTCTTGCACACATGTTGTGTCTCCTGGGTCGGGTGAAGTTTGTGTTATGTCTCTGACTGTCTGAGGACCGGTATGCAAAATCCCGTAGTGCACATGGTGTGTGGGACATGGAAGCGCTCTGGTCTGCAGAAGTCTAAAGTGCACATGCTGTGTCTTGCGGATCATGTAACGGCGAAGTTTGTATTGATGTCTCTGAGGAGCCAGTCTTATGCTGCTGAATGGCTCGAAGTACTCGGGTCTGCAAATTCCTGCCGTGCATATGCTTGTTGTTGGGGGCTGATTTTCGATGCAGCTTAAGTTAGTGTTCATGTCTCTGAGGACCGATCCTTATGGCTATGAGTGGGTATCGATGCTGGAAGTGCTCCGGCCTGCAAAAGTTTAGCGTGCACATGCTGCACCTACTGGATATTTAATTTATTGGTTGCTGCATGGAAGTGAAGTCTTGTGTCTCTGAGGACCGACTCTTATGGATGTGAGCGGGCAGAATCATGATGGAAGTGCTCCGGTCTGTGGTGTCGGGAAACAGGCTACTGCAGGTCGCACGCGTCAGCCACATGAGACTCACGAGAAGCAAGGCTTGAGGGAGAGAGTGAGAGAGAGAGAGAGAGAGAGAGACAGCGAGAGAGAAAGAGAGGGAGAGAGAGAGAGAGAGAGAGAGACAGAGAGAGAGAGAGAGAGAGAGAGAAAGTGACAGGCAGACAGACAGAGTGTCAGTGATGTGTGTGCGTGTGACCAGCTGCTTTCAGTTGCTGTGTGCAGCATGAGCTTCAATATCACGATGCACAAAGCAGTGGGTCCTTCAGTTGAACCGCCGGTGTCAGCTTCTTGTTCGAGATTGCTCTCAAGAGCACGACGATCTGTGATGCAGCGTGTCAAAGTCCAGCTATGTTTCCTTCCGACTGAGTCAATTCTTCCATGTCAAAGTCCAGCTATGGTTCCCTTCAGACTGAGTCATCACTTCAGATTCAGTGAAGTTGTTTACATAAACTTAACAGTACAGTTACAGTACCTTGAGTTTCTGTGTACTGTAGTAGGATGTCTATGTGTACCCGAAGTTTAGGATTGCTACTCCCGCGTGCTCTGTGTGTGACACAATGGCGAGATATTGCTACGAGACATCACTGTGAAAGCCGGTGACTGCTACGAGACATCACCTCGAAAGCCGGGGTTTGCTACGAGACATCACCTTGAAAGCCACGGGTTGCTGCGAGACATCACCTCGTAAGCCAGGGGTTGCTGCGAGACATCACCTGGAAAGCCAGGGGTTGCTGCGAGACATCATGGTGAAGCGAAAGAGACCAGGAAACTCGACTTCTGAGTCGGACGAACCCGGTTCTGCTGCTTCTGGTTCAGATTACGAATCCAGCTCCTCGTCCTATGATGGAGAATCCGGCTCTTCCTACTCCAATGGTGGGTCACGCTCAGAATCCAGCGATGGCGGGTCAGAGTCCAGCGAGCCAAGGATTGCAAGTTTTTCCATGAACCAGATCTTGTTCGGCGAGGAAGACTCTGGCTCCGAGGATGCTTACCAGTGCAATGGTAAGTCGGAGAAGCGTGTTCGGAGGGCTTTGCAGTCTCGGTGCTGCCGCCGGCAGTGCAAGCGCAGGCTTGGGTTCAGATCGATCATGGCCTTGGTGTCTGCGTTCTGGTCGCTGACGAAGTCTGGGCAGGACTCGCTGCTTTGGAGCCTTCAACATCCAATTTGGACACCTCCGGATGAATCTGAGGAAGATGAGAGCTTCAGTGGCAGTGGCAGTGATGGTAGCTCTGCGAGTGCATCATCAAAGTCCGTCAGAAAAGTGGCTTGGTACCTTGAAGGTGGGGTGGTTGTCAAGCAGTGAAGCCTGTGTGCAGCCGTTTGCCTTTGTGCTGTGATTGTCTGTAATGGCCAGGCCACAAAGTCTGCAGAGCTGCATTCGTCAAGATCCTGGGTATTTCGGCAAGCCGACTTGTTCGATGCCGCTCTGCATTTCGGGGACAGGATATGAGGAAGTTTCGTGCCTGGTCGGTTTTAGTTTTGGGCCGCTAATGGTCATTGATGTACAGTCGGGTTTGGATGCCTTGCTGCTCCCTGCTCTCGCATGAAGACGTCCAGTTTACATGCTAAGACTTATTATGCTAAGGCCAGCCAACCTCGTGGAGTCCAATGTACGCATCCTGTGTCGCCTTCATCGAAAAACTTTACTGGGGCATAGCCGAGCCCTTGCCACACGAGCTACTCGTCCTTGGCTGGAAGTGTGTGCATAAAGACCTAAGCTTAGAGTACTGTGTGGCAGCCTTGTGCAAGCTGTGATTTTCATTCAACAGTCTCAGCAGGCTGAAAATCAAAGAGGGGCTGACTGGCGACATGCTGTCCACAGATAAGTACCAAGCTGACATTCTCAGATGCATGCTGGATGTGGCATTGCAGGACGAGTTGCAAGGAATATTGCCTCCCAAACATCTTCCGAAAAAATATCTTCCGCCAGGCAAGCGTTCGGATCTGTATCATTTATACATGTCGTCCTGTATGTCGGCTGGTGTCAAAGTGGCATCGATCAAAACATTTTACAGGGCATTCAAAACATCAGGCTATGAGCGCATCCTGCGGTTCAGGAACAAAACACAACACACGCAATGTGCAATATGCCATCGACTGAAAGCTGCCATTGCACACTCCCGAGACTTCGTGGAACATGCCAAGTTCTGTGATGAGTATCATCGGCATTTGGCTGGCATGTTTGCAGACCGCAAAGTATATGCAAGCCTTCGAGCAAGAGCTGTTTGTCAGCAAAATCAACAGAATGGGTTTCTATGAGTCTTTAACAAGCAAACACATTAGGACCTGAAGCTGAACTTTCCATGCCATAAAGGTACTCACACACCGAGACATTTTGCTGGGAATCGTGGATGGCATGGACCGTGCAAAGTACGCCCTACCTCGCTGGCACAATCTGAGAACGCCAAAAGGGGCGGACAAGAGGGTGCGCCCGTCGCTTGATGTGTATGCTGTTATCCTGCACGGGCGATCCGTGAACATCTTCATAACTGATGAGAACCAAACCACCGGTGCCGACTGGGCCATGGAGATTTGGACGAGAGCTGTTCAGAGAGAGTGGACCAAGTCACAGCAGACTGGCCAGCCTTTTCCGGCGCACTGCATCCTATTTGGAGACAACACATCTCGTGAATTGCGCAACACCTGTGTCAGCAGGGTGTTTTCAGCCATGACTGCCGCCTCTATTTTTACATCATGCAGCTTGAAGCACCTACCCGTCGGGCATACGCACGAGGATGTGGGTAAGGAGCCCAGTTGGATCATGCTAGGCCATGCATGCCATGTCTAACACAAAAGTGGCATGTCACATCGAACCTTCATCTTGTATGCCATGCCCTGTCTGTGGCAACTAAGATGCGTTCTTTGGCTTGCTGACGTCGATGATCAGTCATGCTGGTGTAGATATGTTTGCCGGCAGCAATAGTAGGTATTTGGAACGAAGGTGTAGGAGCCTTCTTGTGTGGATGGGGTGCCATCTCAGGCAATGCCCTGAGGATGTGGTGAAATTCCTGAAGAAGAAGCTGCAGCGTCTGTTTGAAGACCGGCCCGAAGACATTCATGTTGAGCATGTTACGAACATCCGCGCTTTCCGCAACGAACTCCCTGACTCTGCAAAGATTTACAACATATTTCGGAAAAGGAAACATGATGATGACAGCAACAAAGTGATTCCTCACTCGTTCACTTTTGTGCGGAGAGAAAGACACTTGGGCCAAATCTGAGAGCTGTAAAGGTTGTGCGTGAGACCCGGTATTAATTGTCTAGGGTTTCCTGCTTCCGTGTGCTATGCGAAGAAACCAAGGTTTGCCTCAGGCTTTGCTTCGTGATGTCAAAGAGAACCTACCTCGAAGATATCCCAAGAACGACGCGGATGTCTTCTGCTATGTGAAGCGATACATCAGTGACATGGATGTCAGTCAAAAGGCTTTGGTAGTCTTTCCGGGAGCGGCGCTGCCGCAAGTCGTGGCTGCTTGGAGACGACTATCTACAGGTGCCTGTGCCAGCTGCATGACTGCAGGTTCGTCGGTTTGTTTGTGTTGCACCTGGTCGTGCAGTTTGCGGCCTGGGTGTTTGCAAGTGAGTCGTCTTTTTCCCGTGAGGCATTGAATGTGCTTGAGCCGAGGCCTTCCACGTGGCTTGGAGCAGCCGAAGATAGATGAGTTCTCTGATCTGGCAGAATGGTTGGAGAAGCGTTATCCCCGACAGTACCCCCGAGGGATTGTTTATCTCCGGCAACTGGCCGGAGAAGTTGCCATGCACCAGGAACGACTTCCTGGGCTTTCGTTCTTGAATCCCCAAAATGTGCAGGCTAGGGGTGTGCCCCGAATCAACCTTCCCAATCCGCTAGAGAATGATGTGCACAACTTGCGGGTTCAGTTTCACCGTGTGTAGGACAGACAGGACTTCTGGGCGTGTGGTGTCGTAAATGTGCCTCTGAGATGCCGTTGTCGTGTGCTTCTCATGTTGCCGCCTGAGTGTGCACGTGGCATAGAACAGCATCCATCATGCAACAGTTGACGAGCTGTGGCTCAGCTCAGCAGTTTGCCAGTGGGTCCTGAAAGGACGACTGCAGTCGTCAATGGCTGCTGTGGAGGTGAAGACAGAATGGGATGCCAAGGCTGGTCATCCCGATGCTAGTGCTCCGGCTTCGCAAGCAGATGCTGCAGCAGTGCCCGGGCCGTCCCCGGCCATGGCATATACGATCAAGGACAAGATCGAGCTTGCTTTCTTGGAGGTCTGGTTGTGCTTCGTGTGACATAATAACACAATGTGATTTCACACTGTCGGCTAGCATGCTTCCTAGCAGTTTCCCCCCCGACTTTGGTCCTGATGAGGCCGCCAAAGAGGCCCACATTGGTGACATGATGGCGCGTTGGTTCCCGCACTCGCAGGAGGGCCAAACTGAATTTGCCAAGGTGGGCTGACGGAGGGTTGGTGTAAGGTGCCGTGACATGATGTGTATCGACTCTGGGCGGGCATCCGAGGTCATGCTGCATTATGTGGGCCTTCCGGATGTGGCCAAGCATGTGCAGTCCCACCGGGCGATCAACCACGTTCCTACAGACTCCAAGACGGACTTTTGGCTGAATCCCTGGATGATCGATTACTCGCGCCAGTGTAAGTATGGCTGCTTGTCTTCATTTTCGGACCACCCAGTCTAGACATGTTCACACTTGCTGTTCGATTGACAGTGTGTTGTGGAATGTCTGCGAAAACTGCTTCTTGCTTGTGAGGCCAGAGCTGCAAGTACCCGGACATGTGCACACTACGTGTTCACTTTGTTTCGATCCTCACCGCTGGCTTCGAAGCTTCGAGGGAGCCTCTGGACGTGAGGTTTCTTGCGGAGAAAGGATATTTGGACAGCAGTTAGTGTGCGACGTTCCGTGAAGAGTTAGTTTGTGTTTGCAAGATTTTACATTTCGCCATTGAGGGACCATGCCCTTCGTGGACGGCATCGAGATTTTCAGTGTGAAACTGGTCGATGGCTTTACGAAAAGCCTGTGTGTCCAGGCGATCTTTGCGCTGATGCACAAGCTGGACTGCTTGGTTGCACATATTAGAACTTCAGTGGCTGCTTTTATTTTTTTGCTGTGCGTGCATGTGTGACTTTAGTTTCAGTTCGCATGTGAGGAGGTGACACCGGAGGACTTGGCCGGGGACGAGAGCATGGCAACGTGTGTGGCCTCGCTGAAGTATCTTAAGGGCAACTTCAAGAGGCACGATCGCGAGGAAGAGTACTTGTACGATGCTCTTGCGCTCACCCAGCGGACGGGAGAGAAACAGCAGGCGAGTCCGATGGAGTTGGTCAGTGTGTTCAGCGAGGCGATTCGTTTGAAGAAGAGGTCCCTCGGAGCCAAATCGACTCGTGACCTTCTCAACCTCTGCGTCCAGGATTACAATAAGGTTGTCGGGAAGGCCAGGGCAGGGATCCGTCTACATCTTATAAGCTCTGCTCGGAATCTGGGTGATCCAACGGAAGGAAAGAAGAGTTCTCATTCAGCCCGAAGTGTGATGTGATATTAAGTATACATTCAGGATTCGTCGACTAAGCGGTGCCATACCCTCATATGTCTCCGTCCTGGTTTGTTTGGGCATGATATCGAATGTTTGACAGGGGCAGAAGATCAAGCAGGAGACTGTGAAGATCATCTACAACGTTGTCCGATGCCCCTTGGTCTTCAAAGAAAGTTTGATGACCATGTACAGCGACTACCGGCACTTCAATGCAGGCTGGGGATTTGCTTTGGCACTCCGACTCAGCAAGAAACTTGTGCATTGTAACATTTTGTCGCTCTTCCCTATCAGCTCTGACGTTGGACAACCTTGCTGGCGATTTCTACGTCCCTGGGACCAACCTCGCGAAGACTGACAAGGGGAGATGGCCAGAGATCCTGGTTTCTCAATTGCAGCCAAATGATAGGTGAGCTTTGATTATGGTTGTTCGTGCTATGCTTGTCTGTGCGCGCTTGTAGATGTGTGTGTAGATCGGCGGTTGAGATTAAGGTTCCTTCAATGGGTACTTTCGAGGTTGGTTTCCATGAGTTACGGGATTCCCTATTGAACGTCTGGAATTAAGGCTGCTTGGTTGCGCACTCATTGAGACGGGTCTGCTTGAAAGACCATACATATCCTTCCCCGTGCAACAGCGATCTGTGTCGTAATCTTGTTCCGGCGCGATGCGCCCCAGCAAGCCACTTCCAGTCCTCCCCCTCAACCCCTACCCCCCATCCATCCCCAAAGTCAACGCCGACCCTAACCCTACCCAACCCTGACAGCCCGCCACAAGGAGGTCACCGAGACTGCCACGATCACTTGGGTGAAGCGGGTGACTGCGGCCCACAGAAGCAAGGCCCCCCCTGACACGAGTGTGCGCACGCAGGCTGGGTTTTTGTGAAGCACTGGTTTGTCCTCTGCCTTAGGACTGCTTTTAACATCACACATAGTGCAACTGAATCCCTTGGCAGAAATCAGCGCAGCTGGGCAATGATCAGCTGAAAGAGCTGATGGAGATGTGCTGTTTGTGGGAGTGGCTGACTCCGATGATGCAGCGAACCTTGGGCAGTGGCAGCCAGAAGCTGCTGGATGCCTGGGAGATGGGGAGCCTGGGCTTGATTATCGCTTGTAGGCCCAGCCTCGCGGCTTGATCTCATTTGAGGGGTGGACTGACTTGCGCTTCTTAGCTGTCCTGGCTTAAGTGCCTTTGGTAGTACGGTCGTAGACTTGCATCCTGGCCACCATCATGGCAGAAGGGGCACGAGGATCGAACGACGGTGGGAGAAAGCGAAGGCCGAGAACGCCAGAAGAGAAATTTCCGAAAGGTTACTTCGACTGTGAAACTGCTATTGATTTCGTCCAGCTTGGGATATACAGCATTCCACAGATCTACCGTCTTGCGGAGAGCTTGAGCAAGTCAGTGCCGCTGCTTGAGTTTATAACTTCGAGTGGTGTCCCTCTGTGTTGTAAAAACTCTTGAAGTTCCAATCAGTGAAATAGCTTTGTGTTCCCATTCAGGTCTGGGCATCAGCCCGCAGATTGGGCAGGCGGCTCCAGGTTGTCGTTCAAAGCCACGAGATTTCTCGAATGTCACTAGAGGACCGTCGGTGCTGAGATGCCATGACACAAACTGTTTGTCGGGCTTATGAATGAATGTTCTGAGCCGTTGTAAATTCGATGCATTCGTCAGGCAGCCAGAGTGGGGGAAATTCAATGTATTCTCGGAGCCCGATCCCTTGGTTTTGATATACACTGATTATGCTACAACCACCAACTAGGGAGAAATTCAATGTATTTTGGAGGCCCTCAAGCCAAAGCCAGAAAATACATTGAAATCCAGGATTCAATGTATAAATTGATAAGCAAAAACCATTCAATGTATTTCTAGGATGTAGATCCAGGACCAGCAAAATACATTGGTGGTGCCCGCAAAAGAGACAAATACATTGAAATCCAGAATTCAATGTATTTCTAGGAACCAGATCCCGGAGCCGGAAAATACATTGAATTTCTGTAATTGACTAAGATAAAAGAAATTCGCTCTATGTCTGCAAGGCACTGGGATAATATGTAGTTTGTCATTTAGAATGTATCCTTCCAGATGGTGGTCGGTTTCTAGCAGTATTGCGTGATTCCAGCAGATTGAAGTCGTCATACTCCTTGCGACCATAGTTGTGGGTCTGAGATTACATGTAGTATTTCCCACACCTATCAGTCTCGTCAAATTAGCATGCTTCGACTCCAGATGCTGCTGCTTACCAGAATGCGAAATGAAAGAGCTCTGCATGTGTGTCTGTGTGTGCAAGCGGGCAATTGTGCATGTGGCAAATGTGACGAGTCATGGTCGATGCTTTGTGTGGGCGTCACAGTTGACAAGAAGTTACAAGTCGCCTTTGCAACTGAGGACCCTGGATATGGAACTTCGTGGAGCTCTGAGAGTTCGGGATCCAGCGTGGAACCCGGAGAAGATGGGATTCTTCTTGGAAGCTCGGGGAAACATGCAACATCAGTTCATGGAGAAAGGGCAGGCAACTGTTCAGAATGCTTTGCGTGTGGCAGAGAAGTCAGCCTTTGACTTGTTCCTGAGCCAGCTGCAGCAAGACCAGAGCTTCTTTCGAGCGCACCTTTTCTATATGAGTTTGCATGATGTGTGATGTGTGTGTGTGTGTGTGCGTGTGTGCCCGAGAAACTTTCGTTGTAGCAGCCAAGGGAACTTCTGAGAACATCCGGTGACTCGGAAAGGAAGCGCCAGGCTGCAGTTTCAATGTTGGAGGCCGGAGATTAAAGGTTCTTGACTCCCTTGAAACAGTCCGAAGCTGGCCCTCTTTGGCCAACCAGTCCCAAGCTGATCCTGTACACCAGTTCCAAGCTGTTTTGCGAGACAGTTCCAAGCTGTTTTGCGAACCAGTCCCAAGCTGTTTTGCGAACCAGTTCCAAGCTGTTTTGGGAACCAGTCCCAAGCTGTTTTGCAAACCGGTCCCGAGCTGTTTTGCGGACCAGTCCCGAGCTGTTTTGCGAACCAGTCCCGAGCAGTTTTTGCGAACCAGTCCCGAGCTGTTTTGCGAACCAGTCAATGTGATGTCTTGGTTTTGTAGCTGGTCCTAATGTTAGATGACTGACCCTCAGTCTCTGCACAAGTCGGCCTGGACACACGTGCGGCGATTTGGTGATGATGCTTTCCCGGTGTTCAACTTGACGCCGAAGAAGCGGCAAGGCTGTGAACGTGATTTCGAAAGCCCGCCAATGGAGCCACTTGTGAAACCATGGTTGGCAGAGGCTTTGGCAGGCCTCCAGGGTGGGGTGCGTTCGGCATCCTCGGAGATGATCGTCTACGTTGCCAATTTGGTGGCGCAGGGAGTGGTGAGCTCCGCGAAGCAGACTTTTCTCGTGCAGTCACTACAGAATGCCGCTGCCCATCATCCGAACAGCTTTGTGGGAGTGGTCATTTTGCCAAACCGGGCATGTGATGAGAGCTACCTGGGCAGGAAGCCTGCTTCGAGTCTTGTTCCAACTCAGAGACAGCGAAAGAGAGAGAAGAGAGAGACAGAGTGTGTGTGTGTGTGTGTGTATGTTTGGGAGTTGAGTAAGCCTAGGAAGGATGAAGACGTGAAGGAGGAGACCCAGGAGGCCGAGGAAGGGGAGGATGATGAACCCGAAAAGGCCATCGATGTGGAGGCCGCGACGTCCCTTCGCGACTTCAAGTACCAGCTGCAGGTCTTGTTGCAGGAGCCGGCAAGGCAGCTGTCGGTGCGAAGCTTGACACTCATCTTCGATGAGGCGAGCGTCTACGGGCAAAGAGCTGCGTTCCACGAGGCGTGGCTGATCACGAGTTCATCTTCGACTGCCATGCCCCGCAAGAGCTTGTTCAAGCGTCTCATCGTGGACAAGATTCCGATGTTGCCGCGCAGTGTTGTTTGCCTGCATTTTGTACCCATGTGCCGGTGTGGACTGATTTAAACTTGGTGTCATGAGTCGGTGTTCTGAGGACATGCTGAAAGTGGAGGTGGGCCGCAAGATTTCTGCAGACACGGACCGCTTGTCCCGCACGCAGGACTTGGCTGCAGTCCGTCTGTCCCCGTGTCTTTCGTGTGACTTGCAATGACAGACTCAGAGATGATGGCAGTGATGTGTTTGTAGAGATGGCAGTGATGTGTTTGTAGATACCAGACATGAGGAGCTCCGCCAGCACCTTGGTGGAACGGGGGTGATCAAGAAGATTTTGGCGAGCCTGGAGGTTGCCAAAAGCAAGACTGTGGTGGTCGACTTGTTCGCGCACGATGGATGGGTTCCACTTGCATGTTTGCAGCTGCACATGGAAAACCATTCTATTGCATGCGGGTCTGTGGCTCACTCCGAGATCGAGTACAAGTTCACCAAGGAAGGGGTTGAACCAGTTTTAGTTTTTAGTGGTTGAGGTATCATCCCGGATTGGACAGTTCATCTAGAGTCTGTAAGATTTGGACAGGAGGTGCTCCTTCATGACTTCTTTGGCCGGGCCAAGACGAAGCAGCTGAACATTGCAGGCTTCCCCGATTTCACCGCGGCCTTGGCCGACTTGGGCAAAGTGCACACGGACAGCTCACGGCCGGACTACGAGTACCTCGTGACCATGCCTGTGGGTGGTGACCTGATCGTGCTTGAGGCTTTGATGTCCAAGTTCGAGAACTCGGCCTTTGCGGGTGAGTTTTCGGGCGTCTTGAAAAAGCACGACGAGGAGTTCAACAAGCAGCGCAAGAAGGCCACCCTGGCAGATGCCCGGTCTGAGCTGGAGAACGTTCGAAAGAAGCGCGAGGCCAACACGCCCAGGAAGCTCGAAAAGGCTTACGATGACATGACCGCTTTCCGTGAGGACCACAAGCGGCTTCTTGATAGATTTGCAGTGGACGGTCTGTGGGTATTCGATGTGCTCGGGTGTAATTAAAGTCATTCGGTGTGTTTGAGTGTTTGGGATTGAACACATCAGGCTCCTCGAGACCACGTGTGGTGACGTCAGCCTTTACTACGACTCGGATGACAACTCATTGTGGGTGGGGTCTGACCGGATCTGTGGCATCGCCGCAAAGACGGAGTGGCTTGGCTTTGGCTCAGGCAATTTCGTCGATGGGCCTACGGCAAAGGACGTCCTTTCGGATGCAAATGGCCGTTGGTATCGCTACTCCTTGGCTGGACCCATGTCTGATGTGATCGTGATCTTTGAAAGCGACAGAAAGCTTCCAGAGGAACTCAAGTCGCTCCCCATTTGGAACCAGGCTGTCTGGTTTTGAGAGTAAAGGCAGTGCTGCAAGTAGGAACGAGTAGGAATCTTGTGATTCGAGTCCCAAATAATAAGTTCGTAAACTTTATAAAGCAGGCCGTGAGCTTGAAGGAGTTCCTAGT